ACCAATCCAAGGGACGGGACCCTCAGAAGGCGACCACACAGAAACCTCCTAGGCTGAAGAATTATCAGAACATCACCCACAGCGTGATGCTGTTAGGGAAGCTGTGGAGAGAAAGACCATGTCCCATCCACACAATTCACAAACATCCTTCGCTGTGACTTAGACATATCAAGTCCTGCAATAGAAGAGAGGATTTTTGTTAGGTGATAATTACGCTTTAAATGATACAATGACAATGGAAAGGCCGTAACAGTATTTGTAAGGAAAACTGAAGGGACACAGTATTTGCAATTAGAAAAGGAATAAAGGATTCAAGTCATGCCAGCTTTGAGAAAAGCCGAGAACAGGAGAACCTAGCCAAGACATGTTTTATGCCTGAAATGAAGTTAACCAAAAGGCAAGTGGATAATTCAAAAACAACATGGTTAGCAAGGAGGAGGGACGGAGACAACTTTGGATCATTCTCTGAGATTACAAACAGATACATGTATTTTCTTTTCCTTTTTTTGATTTTTCTACTTCTCCGTGTAGTCCTGGCTGTCACAAAACTCCCTTTGTAGACCAGGCTAGTCTTGAACTCACAGTGATCCACCTGCCTCTGCCTCATAAGTGCTGGGATTAAAGGCTGTGCCACCACCTTTTAATGTTTAAGCTAACAAAAGAATCCTTGATGATTCACAAACAAACAAACAAACAAACAAATGTTCAGGCATCAAGTGAAAAGACATTTGCAATGGTTTTAGTTTGAATTCTGGTTCTCTGTAAGTTTCTTCTTGTCTCCTCTTTACCAACCAGCAGCTGCACTGTGCACTGCTTTTTGTCCTCTGTCTAGAGCCACAGAAGCCAGAGTTCCAGAGGAGAGTGAGAAATTAGAGAGGAAAGCTGGTCTCTAACTTGCAGTTCTGGGACAAAGGTCAGACAGATCAGAAGGGAAAACACCTAGATTATAAATACAGCAGTTTATCCTAAGATTTTTTTGTATTTTTTTTTAGAAGTTTTTCAGCTGGGTGTGATGGTGCACACCTTTAATCTCAGCACTTGGAAGGCAGAGGCAAGTATATCTCTGTGAGTTCGAGGCCAGCCTGGTCTACAAAGCAAGTTCCAGAACAGCCAGGGCTACACAGAGAAACTCTGTCTCAGAAAGCAAAAAAAAAAAAAAAAAAAAAAAAAAAGGAGGAAGAGGAAGTTTCTCAAATACTTTTAAGTTTTTTAAAGTTCTATTTCACGTGAAGATGCACAATTGTTTTGAAATATACATGTTACTTCCTTCTAGGTATAAAAATATTGCTGATGCCCTACACCTCGCCCCTTTGCTCTCTACATGATTTGCAAGTGTGATAACACATTTCTGAAACACATCTCCTTTGTCACTAAGGCTACCACCATCACCAGGATGAAATAGTGAAAGATCTCCCCAACTGCTTCAAGTGTAATACTTTGCAAAACAAATGAACGTTGCTGGGGAACTCGCCTTTCTCCAGAAAAGCCTATTAAAACATTGTTGACGCTGGACACAAAATAAAATCCCCAAATCTGCATTTTCAGTACTTTGCTTTCTTGACCTTTATTTGAATTTGAGACTAAGCTTTACCAAACAACAGAATTTACACAGTCACTAGCCAACCACAGTCCTCATTATGGAATCTCTGCAGTGCATTTGTTCCCTAGGAAACCGACCAGAGCACACACAGAGTGCAATTTCAGATGAGCAAAAGAATTCTCCAATCATGGTGGTAAATAAAGTCCATACATAAGTCAGCTGATCCGAGGCAAACTCAAAAAGCGTCAGAGAAGAGCTAAGCTCCATGGAAACTTTCCTAAAGGGAAAAGAAAAAGAAAAGAAACCTGTGGGGTGTCTTTGGGTAACTATGTAGATCCCTTAAGTAAATATTATGAGCAGGTTTCTTTATAAACACAAACTGTCATAAAATAAACTGTTCAAAATAAATGGCTTCTCTCCAATCTTCAGCTTCTCTGTTTTTGACAGTATTTAAGAGGGAAAGCTTCTTTAGAGCCAGCCTCATACATCTGGTACCAGGATATTAATCCAAGAATGGATCCTTCATTTCGGCAAGCAGCATGGGCTTGCGCTCTTAGTGTGAGATGACAAACCCTGCAATGAGCAGTTTCTGTCACACCTCTCACTCGATGCCACAGGACCAAAAGTCACAGGTCTGTAAAGAGCAAGTCTGTTACTGCCCAGTTTTCTACTTTATTACGCTAGAAGTGAACACAAGAAAGAACCAGAAAAGCCTGTAGACTTTCAAGTCTCCCAGATTTAACTGAGGACAGCTCAGTGTTGCTTAGGAAAACAAAATACAGTTAAATGTCAGCTTCATTTTAGAAGCCAATTGACACAGATTCCTATTTTCTGCAAGGAGCATTTATTTATTTGTCATAAGGTTTAAAGAAAAAAGCATCAGGACAAAAATTAATTCATTTGCCCTCTTCAACAGCAACTCACCAAAAGGAAAGTCAGTTAAAAACATGCAAGCCTCTCTGGAATGCTTCTGATTACACCATTATTAGTTACACAGAAAGAAAAATAGTAACATCTACACACCAGTCAAAAACAAACGAAAAGGCAAGGTATTATCTCTCAGCCAGCGCAGATAAAAACACTACAGTGCTGATCCAAGAAAACTCAGGCACAACGACTACTTTGCCAAAGCATTCCCAACACAGACCCACTGTTAATTTTTCCCGTTTACACAGAGATGCTTTGTTAAGTCTTATCACTACCACTGACAATCTAATAAATACACAACAAGTGATTCAGTTTGTTAGTCTGCTTTTTTTTTTTTTTTTATTTCAACCAGGGACAAAGAGCTGCAACTCTGATGATGTTCTAGAACTTTCTGTTCATGATAAGGCCAGACCTAATTGGAGATGCCTCTTCAAGCTATTCATAAGGTTTAGGCCAGAGTGGACCAGACCCACACACTAAGTTCTGTGTCTTTGTGTAGTTTAAATTCATTTACCTAATCTAGACCAGAAATAACAGCAGGAGATAATAAAACCTGATCAATTATGGTAGATGAAGCTGCCTCTAGACATTAAGTGTGCATAAATGTATAGTCCCAATAACTGATAAAAATTCAGAATGCAGCACAGACAATCTAATGCAAGAATCTAGGGTAAATTTTTCTCCCACAAAAAATCACTATTTTAAGCATATTAAACTATGATAAAAATAGTGTACTTGAATACAAGTGCACTGAATTGTATTTTTTCTTTAATATTTAAAAAATTAATGGAAATTTAAGTAGTTTCTCCACCATAATATTTTTTCCTTCAAATTTAATTTAAGGACTCTTTCACTTTCTCCAAATGTCTGTACCTACCATTGTCTAGTGATCCTCAAATCTATTTAAAAAAAAACCAAAACCTCCCAGGTAACAGTCAAACTTATGTAAGTCAATATGAATTCTCACACAGTAGACAAAAAAAAAATTTCTTAAAGTGAGGAATAAACAGATTAACATAAGAACATAACCCTGTACCTTCATAGAAAACATTAGTCTGTGAAATGAATTTTATGAATGCTCACTGGCCTTCATTTATTATTTGACTATCTATGAACACAAAGCAACTGTTCACGAAGTTAGCAAGCTAATCAAGTAAGAAAATTCAGAACTACTACTACCTTACACCTTTCGAAACACCATACCCAACATATACAACAACCTAATCCTTGGTTTGTATGCATGGAATACATACAGAAACACAGGTGGGAAAATCACTTTTAACATCACGTTCTCCTCATATGATGTGAAAAGTCTCCTCTCTTAAAACGGAAAACAAAGGTTTTAGCCTGCATGGAAAGACCTATCGGTTTTACTCTCCAATGCAAGCCCTACAGTAAAAGCCGTCACTACCGGACATTGATTGTAGTTAACTATCTAATAGGTAGACTATTCTATTGGTGCTAATCCTAACGACCATGAGAAAAAACTTTACTCCAAAACTTCAAAACCAAAATAAATACAATTGTTTAAAAAAAAAAAATATCAGCCGTGCTCGATCTCCCCCAGGTAAACCACTATCTGACCTTTAATATTAAAATCAAACACAGCCGTAAGAAAACCACAAACATTTTGTTTGTTTGTTTTGATCTGGTCAACCCAACCTCCTCTCGCCAGGACACGCACTAGCTTTCTTGATCTATTTGATAACAAACACAAATCACTGTGCGCAGCCTCAGACTGGGGGGAGCCTTTGGGAGAAAGCCCTCCTCCGTTAGAAACAATAAATAAGGGAGCGAAGCGCCGCACGTTCCTTCACACACCCCACACGCACCTCCCGGCGCCTCCCGACAACCAAGCCAGCCCGGCAGAGCCCCGAAGCACCTCAGGACTCGGCAACTAGCACGGCAAACCGTCCCTCCTCCTTCCCGCCCTCCTGCCCGGCTCGAGGATGCTGGCGCAGGGACCGTCCCCTCCGAGACGCCGCGGGCCGCGAACCCGCGGGCGCCCGGCTCTGCGCCCGCAGACCCTTCCGCCCCTAGCGCCCTCCCGCCTCGCTGGCCCCAGCAGACAAAAGGAAGGTTCGGCGGGTCACGGGGCGGCCGCCCACACACAAAGAGGCCCCGCGCCCGCCGGCTCCCCAGCCCCGCGCGGGCTCTCACCCACCTGCAGGTGTCTGTGCGTCTGTCCATAGGAACGCGGGCGGTGGGGCCTGCGGGAGCCGGGCGGCCCGGGCTGGACGGGGCGGGACGGCGGCGCGGAGGGCGGCAGCACCGCGGCCGGAGGCCCAGACGCCGGAGCCAGTGGAGCGGGAAGGGCGCCCCGCGGGCTGCGCGGCGGGGGACGGCGGCGGTGCGGTGGGGGCGCGGGCGCCAGCCTGGCTCGGCCACCGGCGCGCGCCGCTCCGTGCGCCCCGGGCTCCGCGCGCCCGGCTTGGAGCGCGGGGGCGGGGCCGCGCGGGGCGGGGCGGGGCCGGAGAGGGGCGGGGCGGGGGCTCGGACCCGGGCTTCAGCCGGCACCGGAAGCGCTCGGCGGGCGGCGGGACCTACAGGAAGTGTGTAGCGACGCCCGCGGAAGGCGCTCGACCCGCGGCGCTCGCTGCCCTCCGGGGGCGAGGGCCAGCCTCCCGCCGCGGACACGCGCAGCACTGAGCCGGCCGAGCTCGGCCCCCGCCGCTCCGACAGGTACGGAACCCGCGGTCTCTGTGACTTTCCGCGCGGGTCGGTTGTCCCACCCCCCCACCCCCCCCCCGTCTCCACGCACTTCAGCCGAAACACTCGCAGTAAGCGGAGCCTGCTCGCTTTCAGACGCGTGCCGGCTGGCCTGCGACCCACAGTGTACTCACCCCGTAGTGTCCCAACGCCCCACCGCACCACACACACCTGTAAACCCGACTTCTTAGGAAAAGAAAAAAAAAAGGATGTTGCACGGTGTTAAAGATTCTATTCTACAAGGCTAAATAATTTCACTTCAAGATTATGAAGAGTTAAAGTGTGGCAGCCCAGAGCCAAATTACCTTGGGCTTTTTTAGTTCCTTTGGAAGCCATTTATTGCCCACCCATGTGTCAAACATTATACCCTTGTGCCTAAGGAAAACCTTTAACATGTATTCACAGAGGTTGCAGAGACAACTCTGGTTAAGAGCACTGGCTGCTCTTCCAGAACACCAGGTTCCCAGCACCCACACAGAGGCTCACAACAGTTTGTAACTCCAGTTCTCGGGGCTCAGGTGCCTACTCTAGCCCCTGCAGACACAGACGGAAATGGTGCACACACGTACGTGCAGGCAAAACAACCCTAAAGAATAATAGTAAAACATAAAATAAAACGCATTGTTCGCTGACTACCAGCTTCCACTAAACCAAAAGCTACAAATCTCATCAGCATACAGAAACCCACTTTGGTGTAATCCACCTACTTGTACTCCACGCCATTTGGGAAATGCCTTGATTCTGTGACTTTCTTTGTTCTAAAATAATAATTAAAAAAAAAGAAACAACTCATGTAACTACTTCCACAGTGAAGCATGTCTCTTGGGGCAATCTGAATTCATGTTGCTGGACCATCATCACTCATATTTGGCTTAAGAATGGACTATCTCTCTGAGCTAAGAGCTATGTTTTTTTGCATCTACACACTCATCCCACCTAGGGAGTAGGGCTGTTAGTAACACCTAAAACTCTCAGGCTGGTGGTCTGGTACACAGGGACAAGAGATAACCTATACATCCTGACAAGACTGAGGCAAAGCTCCACGTTTAAAAGCACCTTTCAGCTGGGCGGTGGTGGCGAACGCCTTTAATCCCAGCACTCTGGGAGGCAGAGGCAGGCAGGTCTCTGTGAGTTCGAGGCCAGCCTGGGCTACCAAGTGAGTTCCAGGAAAGGCGCAAAGCTACACAGAGAAACCCTGTCTCGAAAAAAAACAAAAAAAATAAATAAATAATAAAAACCCTTTTCATAGCACTTACCAGATGCTCAGGTTTGTGCCAAGCACTCAGTAGGCTGTTAATTAATTTAGTACTAGGACCCTACAAATCTGGGGCTACTAACATTACTATATTATGGGAAAAGTGTTAACATTTTTCATTGTTTTTATATGTATGGGTGTTTTGCCTGCATGTACGTCTCTGTACCATGTGTGTACCTGGTGCCCTTGGAGGCCAGTAGAAGGTGTCAAATGCCCTGGAACTGGAGTTACAGATGTTTATGAACTTCCACATAGGTGTTGAGAATCAACCCAGGTCCCCTGGAAGAGCAGCTAGTGACCACTAACCACTGAGCTATCTCTCCAGCCCTGCTTTTTCAGGTATGTACTGAGAAGTGATATTGCAGTTCATTAGATGATTATGGTTTTAGTTTTCAGAAACTGAGGCTCATAGAAACTAAGAAATCTTAAGTACCTAATTTCTTGTAGAAGCTAAGATTCATTCAAAGCAGTTTTGCTCCAGAGTCCATGTTCTTTATTGTTTTTTTTCTCTCCCCCACCCCTCCGCCAGACAGGGTTTCTCTGTGTAGCCCTGAAAGTCTTGGAACTCACTCTGTAAACCAGGTGGGCCTTGAACTCAGAGATCCACCTGCCTCTGCCTTCTGAGTGCTGGGATTAAAGGAATGTACCACCACCACCACCACCACCTGGCTCCCATCCTCTTTCAAAATGTTTGATTATTATTATTATTAGACAGAATCTCATGTAGCCCAATATGACCTCTGCAATCGAGTTTGAAGTGAAACCACCTAAACCACCCCATGGGTAGAAAGAAAGGTTTATTAGGACTCAAACTGCCAAGGCTGAAGGCAGAGTCCATGTTTTTAACTCTCTTTTCTTCTCACAACACTGAGCAATTTCCAAAACATTTATAATGCTAGTAAGTCGTATTTAGGTACGACCCACATCTTGGCCTCACACCTCCTATGATAGGAAATCTCAGTCACTCCTACCTCTGAGGTAAATGAGAGAAGAGACTATGACAGAGATTGTAAACAAAGGATCCAGGGCCATCCCGGACCTGTCAGGTAACTTATATTGCCACATCAGTCAGTTCTCTCCTACATGGCGGCTTCCACCAGTCCCTCACAATCATGAGCTGTTTAAGGCTGCTATTCTTTTATTTAAGTATTTTATGTGTGTATTGCCTGCATGTATGTCTGTGTACTACATGCAGGATGGCCCACCAAGGTCACAAAAGGGCATTGGAACTGGAGTTAGAGACCATTGTGAGCTCCTGTCAAACCTGGGTCCTCTGGAAGAGCAGCAAGTGCTCTTAACAGCTGAGCCAACTCTTTAGCCCCTTAGGCTGATATTCTTACCCCTATTCATTATCAAGACTCAGGTCTGAGATAAATAAAAGCATTTTTATAAATGCTTTGAGTCAGTGATATTTACTCAAAGCAAAGCAAAACGTCTCACATAATTGTGGAATAATCTTTTTCTTTCTTTCTTTTTTTTTTTTTAAAGATTTTATTTATTTATCATGTATACAGTGAGTGTTCAGCCTGCAGGCCAGAAGAGGGCACCAGATCTCATTGTAGATGGTTGTGAGCCACCATGTGGGTGCTGGGAATTGAACTCAGGACCTCTGGAAGACCAGCCAGTGTTCTTAACCTCTGAGCCATCTCTCCAGCCCGGAATAATCTTTTTCTGCACTGAAGATTTGTCACTTGGATTGGTTTAATAAAAAGGGGGGGGGGGCTGAATTGCCAGTAGCCAGGCAGAATTTTGGGGACAGACAAAATGCTGGGAAGAAGAAAGGTAGAGACAGGGAGAGTCACCAGACAGACGGAGAGGAAGCAGCATAGGCAGTACAGAGTACAGGGGATAAAGCCACAAGACAAAAAGTAGATTGATAAAAGTGGGTTAATTTAAGTTGTAAGAGCTAGTTAGTAACAATTGTAAGCTATTGGCCAAGCTTTAATAATTAATAAGACATCTCCATGTGGTTATTGGGAGCTGGCAGGTGGGACAGAAAAATCTGCCTACAAATGGTGTGTTATGATACAGCATAGACACATGTCCACATGGAAAGCTTATTTTGTGGGGAGGGGGAGAGGGAATGGAGGGAAGGAGAAAGGGGAAAGAAAGAGAGAGAAAGAGATGGGGAGGTGCACACCTCGTGGGAATAGAGAGAAAGAGAGGGAGGAGGAGGGGTTTTCTCTTAAAGTGGGCTTTACGTAAGATGATGTCGGGACATTGGGAGGACCGGCGTATTATCTGCTTATTGGCCAGGATTCCAAGAAGTGAGTCTGAATGCTGACCAGTGTGGGGCCACATATACCTACATAAGACCTGAGAAAACTTTTTAAAACGTTCTAAACATCCCCTCCCCCCAAAAAAAGATTCAAATGTGGCTTCCTAGTCTCATGTCTTATGGCAGCTGCAGTACAGAGACATGTCTCCCAACAGCTGTCTGCATGCGTAGGCCACCAGTAGGTCATGAGCTAAGCCTCGTGGCGGTTTTAAAGTTTTGCTCATGCAGACAGAAAAGGTTACTGATACGCAGTAAAAACAAGTTCAGATGGAGAAAAACTAAACAGGTCACAGTGTGTTTAACATTGTGCATAGGCTTAAGGGGAAAAAAATGGGTATAGATAGTCACAGAAAAAAATGTTTAAAAATAATAAAGTGTTTAAAGAGAGAGTGGAGTAATAAAAAATAAGCCACCTAAGGATGTAAAATACACAGGGAGTCTGAATGCTATATGTTATTTTGTTAACTTAAATGCTAATGTGCAAAAAAAATAGCTACTGAGAAACATTGGAATATAGGAACTGTTGAATTAAACCAACTTATATATTTTTAAAATGTCTTAACTTAAAACTGAAAGTCAATACATATGTTGTGTTAGATAAGAGGTTATGGTTTTGGTTCTACAGAAAACGAAAGGCTATGGATTAATTCAAAGTTAAAGAGGATCAGGTTTGATCAGGGGACACCCCCTGAAAATCCTGGCTACAGACATTAAAAACAAAGCAAAACAAAACCTAAAACAACTACAAGACAGGTAATGTATATTTTACCTGCTCAAACATAAAACAAAAAATAATCTTTAACTGACTTGTACACACTGTGTATTTCATTCTTGTGTTAATGCAAATATGTATGTTACCTTGGAAAATGTGTATGTTTTCAGAACAAGGGGACCAGACACAAATGAAAACTGGTGACCCGGGTACTCGAGCATCTCAGAGTGCCTCTATTGCCGTTTTCTCAAAGTTTGGCATCCAGAACAGCTTTAAGGCTGCTGGCTAAGATGGTCCAGCCCCACAGACTATTCTAGCCAGGACTGCAGATAAGCCTTGTACTTTCCCTTTGCACAGAGATTGAACATCAGATGATACAGTAGCTCTTCCAGTACTTGACTATTACCTCAATTTTCTCAGGGTCCCTTAGAGATGCCATCATCCCCCAGACAACAGGAAGCAACCTAGAAAACATGACGCCCACATTCCCAAGAGGTGGGATGGGAGTTTTTTGGTCATTGAATGGGTTATGGATATTTGTCATCATTTGGGGGATTGGCTACAAGTTGTTATTAAAAATGGTCAGGAGGGACTGGAGTGATGGCTCAGTGGTTAAGTGCTCTACCAAAGAACCCAGGTTCAATTCCCAGCACCCACATGGCAGCTAACAACTGTCTGTAACTCTAAGATCTGACACCCTCATACATGCATACACCAATGCACATAAAATAAAGATTAAAAAAAAGAAAATGGTCAGGAAAAAAGTTGAACAAAGGAGAATAGATTCAGGGATCTCATTCTGAAAAGAAAAGGGAGAATATAGAAATAATGGGATAAAAGGGTAGATTATTGAATTGAATCTACTTTTAAACTAAAAAAGCAACTAGTAGTCTTAAATACTTTACATTGGTATGGATTTTTTATATACTGATACAAATTTAAGGTTCTTTTTGTTATATCTGGTTCTACTCTTGTTTAAGGTATTTTTGTATGTTGATACAAATCTAAGGTTCTTTTTGTTAGCACATCCTGTACCTGTGTGGCTGTGGAAAGGAGGCTCTGCCTTTGTTTTCCGCTGCTGTTTGCGGCTGCTGCTCTCTAGCACGTGGTTCCTCCTGGTCCACTCACATCTTCTCTTTTTCCTTTGCATTCTGATGAGTCTCCATCGGCTCCTCATTTTTATAGGACTTGTGCACTTCTACTAAGGACGCACTGGACATACTGAAAATGCCATGGACATTTACCCGAACCTTGACTTTCACTTTTGAGCTGGAGCCTTCAGACTGTGGAGTGACTTTCTGAACTAAAAACTGAGCGATAGCAGGATCTGGATAGGGCAAATCCTGAGGAGAGCTATAGTAGACCTCAAGAGGGAAAGGTTCCTTTCTCCAAAGTCCTCACCTTTTATTTGCCCTATCCAGACTGATCAGAATGCAAAGGAAAAAGAGAAGATTCAAGTGGACCAGGAGGAACCACATGCTAAAGAGCAGCAGCTGCAAACACCAGCAGACCTACATTTCTACTGCGTTTAAAGCATTTTACATATACAGCTCAGTTATATTACATAACAATGTAATATAAATTTCTAGTCCTTGAAAGTTACTATTACAAACTGTTTAGGATAATAAGGAAATACAGGTTAGTAGTTAGTCACCTATCACAACCAAACTTGTAGTTATGTATGTTTTCAAGGTCAAACAGAGATATATTTTAGATAGACAGGTGGTCTTCAAAAACTTCAGAGATCTACAGAACATGGTATTTAGGATGTTTTAATAATATAAGGCTTTTTATGACAATGAGACATGTCTGCTCCTAGCAGCACCAATCTACTTCAGAGACGATAATGGGCATCAGAGAACCTCCTTATGGAGTATGCGTTCTTTGTGGCAAAAGCTAGCCACTAGGCAAAGAAACTGCCCTTGCCTCAGCTGCTGACAGAATGCTATCCAAATTGTACAAGCAGGACACAAAGGAAAGTGTCTGCCAAGCTTTGCAAAGACAAGGTAGGACAGTCCTTCAAAATTCCTGCTTCACACAAAAATCTATCAGATATCCTAGGCCTGTAGGCTGAAGATGGATGCTCCAACATTTGAGAGGAACCTCAGATGACTGTCCAGACAGCCAGATGTTTCTGTCCTTTCTTTTAGTTTTGGAAGTTGCTTGCTGGGCACTTCCTGTTTACTTAGGTAGTATATCCTTCTGGGATCTTTGATAGAGTTGAAGGCTAGATAGTCATAGTTTTCCTTAGTTATGATAGAAGTTAAATTGGGTACAGAGCTTTGGACTCATGAAGATAGAATAAATAAGCCAGGCAATGGTGGTACATGGCTTTAATCCCAGCACTCAGAAGGTGGAGACAGGTGGATCTCTGTGAGTTCGTGGTCTACAGAGCAAGTCCAGGACAGGCTCAAAGCTACAGAGAAACCCTGTCTCAAAAAACAACAAATTAATTAATTAATTAAAATAGAATAAATAATGGAGTATTTTTTCCAAATATGCCAAAGAAAAATGGACTGGACGTTATAAATATAATTCTTTTTTTTTTTTTTTTTTTTTTTGGTATTCACAGAGATCTGCCTGCCTCTGCCCCCCGAGTGCTGGGATTAAAGGCGTGCATCACTACCACCCGGCATAAATATAATTCTTACCTGATAATTGTTCTTATTGTTTATAGTTTTATTGTTAGAGTTAAAACCTTTCCTTTTTTATTTAGACAAAAAGGGGAAAATATTGTGGAATAATCTTTTGTGCACTGTGAAGATTTGTCACTCAGATTGGTTTAATAAAAAGCTGAACAGCCAATAGCTAGGCAGAATTTTCGGGACAGAGAATACTCTGGGAAGAAGGGTGGAGACATGAGGAGTCACCAGCCAGATGGAGAGGGAGCAGCATGGGCAGTACAAAGTAAAGGTAATAAAGCCATGAGACAAAAGGTAGATTGATAAAAATGGGTTAGTTTAAGTTGTAAGATCTAGTTAGTAACAAGTGTAAGCCATTGTCCGCACTTTTATAATTAATAAGGAGTCTCCATATCTTTGTTCATTTGGGAGCTGGCAGGCAGGCAAAAAAATCCACTACACATAGTTAATTGCTACATCTTCCTAAGACATGCTCCTGTGGAGAAAAATGCAACTCTTATGCATTACTGATGTAATAAGGTACAGCCACTATGCAAAACAAAATGGCAGATTCTCAAAAGATGAAAAATTAAATTATATAACCTAGTAATCTCACTTCTAGGCATGCATCCAAAAGACAAAGTCTTAAAGAGGTATCAGATCACAATATCCCAAGATGTGGAAGCAACCCACATGCCTATTGAGAGATAATAAAGAAAATACAAATATTATTCAGCCTTTAAATAATCTTGTCCCATGCTACAACATAAATGAACCTATTCTAAATGAAATAAGCCTATTACAAATGGACAAGTACCAAATGATTCCATGTTCGTGAGATAGCAGGTGTCACTGACATCATGGGGGAAAAGGCAAAATAGGAATTAATAGGGCCTACTAGTGGGCATATCCAACATTGAAACTGCAACATGACACCACCTACAAAGTCCATGCTCAAGAACTGCACAATTGAATATTGTTTTAAAAGGCATTATGAATGAAGTCCAGGATACCTAGGGCTACCCAAAGGAACCCTGTCTTGACACAAAAATAAAGTATTAAAAACAAAATCTTATAATGGGCCCTCAAGCTGGGGAAGATGCTTACCTACAAGCCTGACCCACATGGTGGAGGAATGGATCGTGTTCTTGCAAGTTGTCCTCTGACCCACATGCACACCCACACACAGACATACACAAAATACATATTAAAATGTAAATCTCGGGCCTGGAGAGGGTGTAGCATTGAAGAGTGCTTCCTATTCTTTCAGAAGACCTGAGTTCAGTTCCCAGCACACACACATCCTATAGCTCACAGCACCTGTAACTCTAACTCCAAAGGATTCAACATGCTTTTCTGGACTCCATGGGCACCCAAACACACCAAAACATATAAACACAGATGCACACACATAAATAAGAAATAAAAATCCTTAATAAAATAATAGATCTCATACTGTTTTAAGTAAGTTTGCCACTTTGTTGGGCTGCATTCACAGCTATCACAGATTAGATAACTCTGCCAACAGTGGCATGAAAATTTAAATATAATTAGGTGGTGGTGGTGGCAAACACATTTAATTCCAGCACTCAGGAGGCAGAGGCAGGCAAATCTCAATGGGTTCGAGGCCAGCATGGTTTACTGAGGGAGTTCCAGGACAGCCAGGGCTATATAAAGAAACCTTGTCTCACAATAAAATAAGTAAATAAATAAATAATAAACAAATGAATAAAAATAAAGATTTAAATATAGTTAACACCACCAGTATATACTAAAAGTTATTAGGAGACTAAATTTTATATTCTACTTTTGCCACAATTAACTATATGTTTTTGCTGCAAAACAGCCATTCTTTATCTCTGTTTGCCCCAGAGAACTTGTGGATTCCTTACCTGCAAAACAAGGGGCAAGAAGCCAAGCTCTGAAGTGGAAAGAAACTGCCACAGAAAAACATTCTAAAAGGCATCTTCAGCTGTCTCATGATGCTTGGGCTGGAGAGTTTCATGTCAACTTCACACAAGCTGGGGTTGCTGCAGGCTGCAGGAAAACATGATGGAATCCAGCTACTATCACAAAAGCTACTACTTGGAAAAGTCAGGGACTTCTCCAAAGGTCAAGCCATGGCTTAAGAAGTCGTGGTGATATTTTAGCTTTTATATATATGGTTCCTAAAATGGTTTTCTTGCATGCTTCCAAGAACTCCTAACAGTGTATTTATCTAAAATGCCTATCAAGCATCCAAGGCCATACGAAACAACACCTGTCTCCTAGGTCAGGCGGATAGCTTTATTTCTTGTGCAATTTAGGGTGAGACCCTCCTTTCTGATACAACCTTACTAAAAGGAATGTAGACTGAGCACATAGATCCATTTTGATATACTAACCGGTCAGTTGACCTCCTCTTTTACCACTCCCATACTGTTTTAAGTAAATTTGCCATTTTGTTGGGCTGCATTCACAGCTATCACAGTTGTAAAAGAAGGCCTGACAGTCACTACCAGAGGAAAATTCTTACCTACCTTTATGACCCCGTAGAATTCAAGCCTGGTGACTTTGCTGGGCCAGAGATTTGCTATTGCTTGGGTTTATAACTGGATTCCAGAGAGACTTAAAATGAGGAGAAGAGAAAAGAGAATGGAAGAACTAGATGGGTAAGAACTTGAGAGGAACAAACTGAGATGGGGAAGAACTAGATTGAAGGGCAAGAAGAGAGGACTAGAGGAACGAGATGGAAGATGAGGAAGAGCCAGATGGGGAAGAACAAGATGAGAAAGAAGGAGATGAGAGAGGAGCTAGGATGGAAAAGAACTAGATGGATGAGAACCTAGATGGGGCAGAACTAATATGAGAGAATGAAGATAGAACTTAGAGGAGACAGCAGATTAATGTAGGGAGAAATCAAGCAAGAAAGGAGCTAGGCATGAGAGCAGAATAGAAGCTATGTAGAGAGAGAACTGACTCAGAAGAATAAAGTGTATGGACTGAGGAGTTTTGTGTACATAAATTCATTTCTTTTCATTAAAGACTAATTATCAACTGGTTGTAGATTCTTCCCAGACTCTGAGAGGGAACTATCAAGGGGCTGGACCCCCATAGTCCTTGATATGGTATCATCTGAGAGGAGGGACCTCAATTAAGAAAATGCCTCCAGCCAAGTGGTGGTGGCACATGCCTTTAATCCCAGCACTTGGGAGGCAAAGGCAGGTGGATCTCTGTGAGTTCGGGGCCAGCCTGATCTACAGAGCTAGTTCTAGGACAGCCAAGGCTGCACAAAGAAACCCTGCCTTGAAAAGTAAATATAAAACAAAGAAAATCCCTCCATAACATTAGGTTGTAGGCAGGCCTGTTGTTGGAGGTTTTTGATCTCTGCTCTTTTTTGGGGGGTTCGCCATCCAGCTCCCAAATAAATCACATACAGAGGCTTATTCTTACTTATGAATGCCCAGCCTTAGCTTGGCTTAGTTTCTTGCCAGCTTTCCTTAACTTATTCCGACTACCTTTTGCCTCTGGGTTTTTCTCTAACTTCTGTAAATCTTATTCTTACTCGGTGGCTTGCTGTGTAGCTGGGTGGCTAACCCCTAGAGATCTCCTCCTCCTTCTCTGGCTCCTAGCTCTCCCTTTTCCAGATTTCTCCCTGTATATATTCTTTCTGCCTACCAGCCCCACCTATCCTTTCTCCTGCCTTGCTATTGGCCAGTTCTTTATTATACCATCAGGTGTTTTAGACAGGCACAGTAACACAGCTTCACAGATCTAAACATATGCAGCATAAGCAAAAGTAACACACCTTAAAATAATATTCTACTACACAGGCCTGTAAGGCATTTTCTCAATTAGTAATTGGTGGGGGAGCACCCAGCACATTGTAGGTGGTGCCATCCTTGGCCTGGTGGTTCTTAGTTCTATAAGAAAGTAGGCAGAGAAAGCCATTGGGATTAATCCAGTAAGCAGTTCTCCTCCATGGCCTCTGTATTAGCTCCTGCTTCCAGGTTCCTGCATGGGTTTTTGTCCTGCTTGAGTTCCTGTCCTGACTTCCTTTGATGGTGGACTATGATGTGGAAGTATAAACCGAATAAACCCTTTCCTCCCCAACTTGCTTGGTCATGGTGTTCATCACAGCACCAGTGACCCTGACTAAGACAGTGCCGGGAAGAGTTTCTACATAGGAGTGTGGTCCTGGTTACACACCAGTGTCTCAACTGAGACTGATCATGAACCAAAGTCAGAGCAAAAGCAAATCAGAATGGTCCCACCAATGCCTCCAATTCAGCCTTCAACTACGTCTGTCCCTGGTTGATGAAGTTCCAATATTCTGCCTGCCAAATATAAATCTTTGGTAAAGGAGCTTTTCAAATTTTTCCTACATAATATCTGGTACCCTACCAATAATTAATCATATATAACAAGAAAAAAGAATGAAAACAAAATGAAAAGAGGACAGTGAAAACATGCACACATGTCCCAGCTGTCCTGGTCATTAGCTAGAACCTGTAGAATAGTTGTGATTAATATGATCAAGACATACAGGACGGAATGGAGGCTTTCACTACATTTAAAAATAATTTAAATGTAGTGAAATGTGGGATTTAAAAATAATCAAATAGAGCCCACTGGGGACATTTCAACCAAAACCACAGTAGACGCCGGTGTGCATCCACGAAGATGATGATGATGGCAGAGGCAGTCGAAGCGCTGGTGAGAAGGTGGGATACCAGAGGTGGGGTACCAGAACTCCAGTTTGGTGCTAGCAGGGTTCTGTGAACTTTGGAAAACATGGCAGTCCTGCAAAAGGTTAAACAAAATTCCCATACAACACTGCAGAACTTCTGGCCAAGAAAAATTGTAGCAGCACAAATAATTTACATGAATGAATATTCAGAGGCAACATTATTCATAGTAACCCCAAACTGGGAAGAACTCAGTTGTCCATCAGTTTATGAAGGGGTGAGTGTTGTACTAGTTGATAGTAAAAAGGAATGAAGTAGTATTTGTTGTGGTTTTTGTTACAGGTTTGTTTTATTTGACTATAAGCCACAATGGTGACTTTCTAGAGCCATGACCAAAAGTTAGACTCAGGTGTCAATTAGGAGAGCTATGAGGTACAATCAAAATGAGTAAAACACAAATTTATTATTCTTGGATCTCAAGAAGGTTGGAGGTGCTGGCAGGAGGCTAACAAATCTAGTGAGATCAGGAAACTTAACTAGCGGGCAAGAAAGAGGCAGAAAGGAAGGAAATTGGACTGAAGAAGTGGTTCAGTGGTTGAGAGCACTTGTTGCTCTTGCAAAAGACCTAGGATTGGTTCCAGAACCCACATGGTGACTCGAAACCATCTCTAACTTGTTCCAGGGAACCTGATGCCCTCTTCTGACCTTCATGGGGACCAGGCACACACATGGTACACATATACACAACACTCATAAAATTAAGTGATTTTTTAAAAAAATTAAATCTTTGGTAACGAGGAAATTCCACGGAGTCTATCTGATAATCAAAGGGATTTATTCTGTGTTAACTCACAGCAAGCACAAAGGAGCTAGTCTCGGGATCCAGGAGGGTGGGGCTCAGTCCAATGCAGTTCTCTGGAGAACTCTGCCTTGATCTGCAGCACCAGCATCCAAGACCACAAGGTAGTCAAGAGAGAGCAAGCAGTCTAGGTCTTCAGGGGTCCCTGTCTCAGTGATTCCCCAGGCGGGGGCAGGTTCCTAGCAGTTATCTGCTGCCTACTAGGGCGGTGCTTTAGGGTACAAACAACCACCCCTACCTTTTGGTGCTGTGTTTGTTAAAATATGTCCACGGTCATATTTTAGACTTCACTGAGGGCTTATGTGTAAGCCCCTTGAGCCTCAGGAGTGGCCAGGCCTCTCTCACCAAGGACCTCCAAATGCCGAGTTCCACCAACAGAACACTAACTGCCATAACTTCTGGACCCTGCCCCAACCCTACCGAGTAAAAAAACCCAATCTCTGGACATGAAATCCCTCCAATCTCTACCCTGGAGAGTTCCACCCTAAGAAGTTCCACCCCCTTCCCAATAAACCCTATATAAGCCCTGTATCCTGTTCAGTGCTCTGCTGTTTCTCACCTGAGCAGAGGCAGCCTCCTAGGTTTTTTTTTCCCTCCCAATAAACCTCATGTGTGAGGTTTGTTGTGCAGTGTAACCTTGTAGTATTCCTTGGCTCCCTGCTGCCAGGATACCTTTCCATCCAACCTGTAATGCTTATATTGGGTGCTGTAACTCAGATAGACTCTCCTAGTGCCTGCATTTCCCCTCATGGTCTAAGCTTGCACTGAGACCCTATTCCTCATCTCCAGTCTATCCACAACAGACTCACCTTCTGGCTCAGCACTCCATCCACCAACAACAATTAGGTAAGTTTTCCCTTTGGTCAGTGTAAATGTTTCCCTGAGTCTGAGGAAGTAATTGTTGAGTGTCTGGTACCCCTCTGATACTCTTGGAAGTAGAGGTACTGTTAGGATCCGCAGATCACCCCACAAAAGACCATCATTCATGTATGCAAAAGCAAGAGCATTTAGCCGGGCGGTGGTGGCACACGCCTTTAATCCCAGCACTCGGGAGGCAGAGGCAGGTGGATCTCTGTGAGTTTGAGGCCAGCCTGGTCTACAAAGTGAGTTCCAGAAAAGGTGCAAAGCTACACAGAGAAACCGCCTCGAAAAACCAAAAAAAAAAAAAAAAAAAACATTTATTTCTCGAGAGAAGAGTTCCTGCATGCAGGGGTCAGCCACACAACAAAATGGTGATGACCCCGCAGAGAAGCTGCAGCCTCCTTTCATAGACAGCCAGGAGGGCATTAGGTCACCCTCAACATGACTGGCCAGGCGAGCAGCAGCTACACTAACATGTTGCTGACAGGCTGGGGCTGTAAGTGCTGAATCATGCCTGGTGTGCAACATCTCCCTCATCTGCCTTATCAGAAACTGAAACTGAAACAGAAACTGAGACCTAAACAGAACTGAAACTCAGGGCTAGCAGAGGCTGGGGCCGGGTGAGGCCCACCACGGTGCTACAGTGGCCTCTCATTCCTCCTTTGAGTAGTGATTCTTCTCAAATCCTAGAGCTGCCTCTGTGTCAGGGCCCAATGGGTCCTGACCTAGTGATTTGTACTGCTGTCTTTGACCAGCGAGATCCACTTTTTATAAACTTGACCAGAGCATTGATTATACAAAGCCCATAAATTAGGGCCAGCATCAGAAGGACCAAGGGACCGACCAAAGCAGATGCCAGAGTCGTTAGCAGGGTGACCAGTTAAAGAGCAGCTCATACCACCCCTGGTTTCATTGTTTTTCTAGCTGCTCTCAAGTAGTCTTTTCCTGAGGAGGCTCATAGAGTCTTTGATAACATCTGAGTGGCTGGCATAGAAACAACATTGTTCTTCCAGAGTCAGACAAAGACCTCCTTGTTGTAGGAACAAGTCTAGTCCCCTTCTATTCTGGAGTACTTCTGCCAAGGAAGAGAGGGACCCTTCTAGGTGGGTGATGGATTTTTCTATCGTGGCTGTGTCAGCATCTATAGCCATATTTAAGGCTCTATAGTTCTGGTCCTGGAGAATGAGAGCTGACGTTCCAGTACCTGTAGCCCTGGCCCGGCCAAGGCCTAGGAGGGAGGATACTAAGATGGCCATGAAAACCTCTGATTTGGCCTGTTCTGGTGGTCCTAGCCAGTAGAAGATCTCCTCCTCGGGGTAATAGATTATCCTGGGGACTAATTGCACCAAGACAGAAATCCTGAGTGTCATTCAAAACTTGGGCATGCACACAGGGGGTTAAGCCGGTGGCACAAGCCCACTAGGCATCATCTGGAATTAAGTAGTACCCTGTCCCTGTTGGACTCTGAGTCTCATTGCAGAGACTGGCATAGCTTGGTGGAGGCCAGCCTATGCCAAGGCCATTCCCTGTCACAGACTGTAAGGTGAGCCTCTCTTGGCTTGATTGTTGCCATCTGCTTGATTGGGTGTCAGAAGAGTCAGTGCAGTCTCACTTCGTAAGAGGGGATTTTGTATCCAGGGAAAGCCAGCAACTTTTAGTGAGACTGGTCTTTGAGGCATTTAAACCAAACAGACAGCTGTTAAAAGATTTAAAGGTCTTGGATTGGAGGGCAGGTCTGTGAGAGCAGGCATGGGTCTGGTTGGGCTTACTACCTTCTATTGGGGCTCTGGGGCTGCCATGGCTGTAGGGACTGGATGTCTAATTGTAGGGTATAGTGGTATTTTATTTGTGCTTTAACAAATAAAACAACCTGGGGATCAGAGAACAGAGCCAGCCACTAAATTAGACATAGAGACCAGGCAGTGGTGGCACACACCTTTAATCCTATCACTCGAGAGATCTCATGCGTTTGAACTCACAGATGGATCTCTGTGAGTTCAAGGCCACACTGGGACCAGAGCCAGGCATGGTGGCAACGCATTTTTAATCCCAACACTTGAGGTCTCATGCCTTTGCTTGGGAAACACACATGCCTTTAATCCCAGAAGTAATATGGCAGGACACAGAAAGATATATAAGGCGTGAGGAGACAGAAACTTGCGCTCTTGAGGCCGAGGATTTCAGTCAGAGGATTCGTGGAGTTGGTGAAGTAATAGCTGATAGCTGTGGCTTGTTCTGTCTCTCTGATCTTTCAGCTTTCACCCCAATATCTGGCTCCAGGTTTTTTGGGTTTTTTTAATATAACCTTCTAAGATTTGTGTTACAGTAGGGTGAATAATGCTCCCACATTTACGGGTGCCATTCTGGCCTTGTCCTATAGCCTTCAAGCCCAAGTTTTTCCTAACATCCAACTAGAGGTCTTTTTGCCAGCATTGGTGAATTGAATAAATACTGGGTTGCCTGCCCCCTTTACACCAAGCCCAGGGTGACAGGCAGGTTCATGTGCCCTTTTTACTCTGATAAGGTCCCCAGTCTTTGGGGCTTCCCACCAGCTGTGACCCCTGGAGACAATTCCATGAGGCACAGAAATAGCCATTTGCTCCTCTAACTGCCAGGTTCCACCCACAGAATACTCTAAGTGCCCTGACAGTTGGACCCTGCCCTTACCCTACAGAGTAAAAAGCCCAATCTCTGGACATGAAATCCCATCAATCTCCACCCTGGAAAGCTCTATCCTGAAAAGTTCTATCCCCTTCCCAAGAAACTCTATATAAGCTCTGTATCCTGTTCAGTTCTCTGCTCTTTTTCATCCGAGCAGAGGCAGCCTCCTGGGTTTTCTCCCTCCCAATAAATCTCGTGTGTGAGGTTTGTTGTGCAGTGTGACTTTGTGGTATTCCTTGGCTCCCTACTGCCAGGATACCTTTCCATCCAAGCTGTAATGCTTACATTATGTATTGGGTGGTTTAAAGAAAACAATAGTCAAAGAGAATTTTTTCCAAGATGCTAAAATGGTGTACTATTAGTTTTTATTATGGTTAGTAGCTACCAAGTATGTTGGGTTTGAGACACTGGGATGAGAAACAGGTGGACTCTATCATAAACACCACCAGAGAAGAAAAGTTTTGTATGGGCCAAAGGCAGCAGGGCACAACAGGGTTTCAAGTAACTTCTGTTAAGCCCCAAAATGGATGTCAGTGCAACAAACATACCAAATGAATTATGGCATTGATACAATACCACGGCCTGAATAAACCTTGAGAATATTATGCCAAGTGAAGGAAGCCTGTCAGGAAAGTGATAAAGTATGACTCACACATGTCTAGAATAGATGTCAGTAGCAAGAGGAAGTTGATTTGTTGTGTCTAGGACTGAAATATTTTGTTGATGCAGACATCTACTAAGGTGTATGTTTTGGGGAGGGTGATAAACATTTTGATTGGTGCCTGCAAGATGGCTTGGTACATAAAGGCACCTGTCTCCAAGTTTGATGGCCTGAGTTCAATCCAGAGGTCCCCATGGTGGAAGGTAAGAACTGATTCCCTGCAGATGGTACCCTGACTCCGCAAAGGAAAGAAGGAACGGAGGGAGAAGGGAAGGGGATTTTTTTTGTTTTGATTTTTGGAGGCACGGTTTCTCTGTGTTTCCCTGACTGTCCTGGAACTCACTTTGTAGACCAGGCTGCCCTTGGACTCACAGAAATCCACCTGCCTCTGCCTTCTGAGTGCTGGGATTAGTGTCTGCCACCACTGCCCAGCTTTTTTTTTTTTCTTAATTTTAGATTCCAATTCATTGTGATGATGGTTGCTTAACTCAGGTGGTGGCAGGGGGGCGGGGGGGGGGGGGGGGGGGCAGAACATTGCATTATATGTTTAGTGAATGGATTATATAGTGATTTATATATTAGATAAAACTGGTATTGTTTTGTATTGTTATATTTCTGAGACAGGTCTTAGTGTGTTATACAGGCTAGGTTATCCATTCTTACCATTAGTATTCACCATTATATTGGCCTAACAGTGTAATATGACAAGAAAAAGAAATAGTATTCACCATTATATTGGCCTAACAGTGTAATATGACAAGAAATAAAAGGCACACAGAATGAAAAAAAAGAGATAAATTCATCTTTATTTGAATATAACATGATTTAAAGAATCTGTTTTTAAAGCTGCTAAAGGTAGTGAGTAGATCTAACTATTACATGGCATAAGACATACCAACAAATTTATATTTCCATATGTTAGCACTGAATACTCAATTTAGCTAGGCATCATGGCTCACATCTGTCATCATAGCACTAAGACGCTGGGGCAGGAGGACTGACCTGAGTTCAAGGCCAGCTGGGTTATCCTATCTGGAAAAAAAAGGAAAAGCTGAAAATTTAAAGATATCTAGAATAGTATCAATAATGTAAAATGCTTGTGATAAGTTAAACACAATTTTGCCTGCAAGTATTATACACTGAAGTCTAATAAACACTGCTGGGAAAAACAAAGGTCCTTAAAAAAAAAAGGCAGGGGCAGTGGGTAAGAGATACATTGTAGTTCTTCACCCAACTGTCTTTGTGAAGATAAAGTAACTTCATTTTACATAAGAATTTTTGTAAATAGCTAATTCTATTGCTTGATACTGATTAGTTGTTCATGATATGTAGTTTTCCTGCAAAAAAGCAATGAGTGTAGATGCCACTTAATGAAACTTGTACTTAATTGGTTAGTTGTTTTAATTACAATTTCAAGTTATATAGATACAGAAATTCTACTTTTTTCCAGAACAAACATATGTGTCCTTATAAGACAGTGGAGGAAACATCTGATGTTAACTCTTGAGCTTTTTACTTCTGAGAAGAGTCAATGCTTTCGCCCTTGTCCTTCACAGTCTGGCGTTCATCTGGGTCATTAGCTTCTCCAGTTTGATTGCGAGGGCAATGTTTCCTTTAATCTTCAGTTTTCCCGACATGAATGCCATGGTTGGCTTTAGTTTCCCTACAATGAGAAATGAGACAGAGAATGCAGCATTAGTGCCCTGAGGGGTGGGCCACTGCAAGAACGTGCATTCTAGGAAGAATTTCCCAGTTACATAAATCCCAGAGCACAGAGATTTCTATTACAGCATTGCATATTACTGTCCAGGGAATCTTGTTCCTGACTTGGATGTTAACAATATCCTATCATACAGAAGATACAGTAAGAAACAGTCTGCAGAAAGTAATGGCAGAAAGCTAAAGATGCTACATTTATACATATGCTGGTTACAGCACTCTAAGGAAATGAATTCTGGTAGGTAAATACTATGTTATTTAATTTTCCAATTTGTTGTAGCTTATTAAACTCTTTAACTATTTCAAGCTTAAATTCAAGAAATCAAATGGTGCAAAAATGTTTAAAATATTTACAAATAATTATTAAGCTGGGCATGGCAACATACATCTTGTAACATCAACACTTGGGGGCAGAGTCAGGAGGATCATAAGTTCAAAACCAGCCTGAGCTAAACAGTGACATTGTGTCACAACAAACAACTAAGACCATTAAATATATAGCATTTAGGAGCTGGGGAGATGACTCAGTGGGTAAAGTACTTGTTGCACAAGTGTGAGGACCTCAGTGCAAATCCTCAGAACCTAGGTAAACTGGCACTATAGTGCACATCTGTAATCCCAGTGTTCCTGCTTTGAGATGGGAGGCAGAGATAGAATCCATAAAAGCTTGTGGACAGCTTGCATGGCATATAGCATTGAACAAAGACACCCTGTCTAATGGTGGAAGGTGAGAACCAACACTCAAGGTTGTTCTCTGACCTCTATGCATGCACAGTGGTACCCAAACATGTGGACTCAAATAAACATGCAAACACACACACACAGTTCTTTATGAAGATCTGAGTTTATTTCCTTGCATCCATGTTCAGTGACTCAGAAATGCCCATCACTCCAGTACAGAGGATCTGATGCTTCAGCGCGCGCGCGCGCACACACACACACACACACACACACACACACACACACACACACACATACTATTTAAGAAATGGTTTTGTTTTTAATATAGTGTTGCAGGATATTTTTACACTGTGTCAAGATGAGTTGCTGTGATTGGTGTAACAGAAAGCTGAACAGCCAATAGCTAGGCAGAAGAGTATAGGCGGGACTTCCAGGCAGAGAGAGAACTCTAGAAGAAGGAAGATGGGATTTGCCAGGAGACACAGGCGGGATGGAAGAAAGGTAACATCACTGTGGCAGAACATAGATTAATAGAAATGGGTTCGGGCGGTGGTGGCGCACACCTTTAATCCCAGCAATCAGGAGGCAGAGCCAGGTGGATCTCTGTGAGTTCGAGGCCAGAAAGAGCAAGATCCAGGAAAGGTGCAAAGCTACACAGAGAAACCCTGTCTCGAAAAATCAAAAATAAATAAATAAATAAATAAATAAATAAATAAATAAATAAATAAATAAAATTGTTACTTGATTTCACAAAAAAATGCTAAATCAATTAAAAAAAAAAGAAGTGAGTTAATTTCAGTTATAAGAGCTAGTTGAGAACAAGCCTAAGCTAAGGCCAAGCTTTCATAATAAGTCTCTATATCATTATCTGTGAGCTGGTGGCCCAAAGAAAAATCCGACTACAGTATACTCTATGAACACAAAAGTATGTTGGCATTTTTCAACCAGAGAAGTGTAAGCATTAAAAATAGAATTATAAGGCAGGAGATGGTGGCACACACCTTTAATCACAGCACTCATGAGGCAGAGGCAGGCAAATCTCTGAATTCTAGCCAGCCTCGTCTACAGAGCAAGTTCCAGGAGAGCCAGGGATACACAGAGAAACCCTTCAACAACATCCCCCTGTACCCCCCCAAAAAGCTGTAGCTACTAACAAATAATATTAGCTCTGTAGAGAAAAGGACCTTGGCGCTCTTTTCTACTATTAAATCAGTGTTGGTTCAATCTGGAGCACAGGGTTAATAGGAAAACCGACGCTCAAAGAGGAATTTAACTTGCTCAAAGCCACACAACTTGTATACATCAGTGCTTCAATTCTTAGCCAGGTATGCCCAGACAGCATTTATGACTTCCTTACATTCTGACAGTTTAGACACTGCTCATATCTCCTAGAAGGCACGGCATGTGTTTGGTACATTAGTGGCCTATCCCTCCTCTCACCTGTGACATATGCAGGTTCAAAACAAAGGAAAAAACATGCAAAAAGCAATTTGATGTAAATAGGAAATGCGGATACAGAATAAAAACCCTGAAATAATTCATGATGTTGGAGATTATTGACAATAATATTAGTAATAATAATAAAGAAGTAACAATATTGATCCTGGAGAGATGGCCCAGTTTGATGACCTGAGTTCAAAACCACAACCCATATAAAGGTTAAAGGAGAGAACAAGATCTACCAAATTGTCCTCTGACCTCCACAGAAGTGCTATGGTATACACACCCATCTACCCCATACACAACCTCATACAAATAAAAGTAAAAAATTAACTCAAAATGGACCATAGACCTAAATGTCAGAACTAAAAATTTAAAGTCTTAAAAGAAAACACAGGGGTACTGTGGATTAAAGCCTACAATGGTCCTCTGTAGGCTCCCAGTCTGTGGTGCTGGTTAGGTTACAGAACTCGTAGGACATGAAGCTTGCTGGAGGAAGTAGATCATTGCAAGGAGGCTTTGAGAATGTATATCCTGTCCCACTTCCAGTTTCCTCTCGGTTTCTTGTGTGCAGCTGAGATGTGATCTCTCAGCTCTGTCTACCTGCTGCATGCCTCCCCCACCATTATGGATGCTCCCTCTGGAACCATAAGATAAAACAGACTCTGTGTTATGTAAGTTGCTTTGGGTCATGGCATTTTATCACAGCAACAGAAAATTAACTAATACAAATCTTTATAACCCTAAGTTTGGTAAGGACTCTTAGAATTGACACTAAAGGCATAAACAATGACAAAAAGATAAATTTATACTCCTACCAAAATGTTTGAAGAATTACTTTAAAATATATCATCAAGAAAGTGAATGGGCGGCTGGAGAGATGGCTCAGTAGTTAAGAGCAATTGGCTGCTCTTCCAGAGGTCCCGAGTTCATTTCCCAGCAAACCTTATGGCAGCTCACAATCATCTGTAATGAGATCTGATGCCCTCTCTGGCATGCAAGCATACACGCAGACTCATATACATAAAAATACACTCATATACATAAATAAATCTTTAAAAAGAAGGAGAGTGAGTAAAAAAGCAGGACGTAGTTGCAGATAATATACCTGAAAATATAAAAATAATTCTTAAAACTCACGGATAAAAGACAATTTAAAAATGAGAAGAGGGGGAGCTGAAGAGATGTCTCAGTGGCTAACAGCACTTGCTGCTTTTCTAGAGAACCTACGTTTGGCTCCTAGCACCCACATGATCACAACTGTCTGTAACTCCACTCCAGTTCAAGATCTGATGCCTTCTTCTGGTCTCCATGGGCACCAGGCATGCAAACGGTGCTCACATATACATGTAAGCAAAACACCTGTATACATAATATTAAAACCCTTTTTAATAATTTGTTTTTATTTATTTATTTTTTTTAGTTTTTCGAGACAGGGTTTCTCTGTAGTTCTGCGCCTTTCCTGGAACTCACTTTGTAGACCAGGCTGGCCTCGAACTCACAGAGATCCGCCTGCCTCTGCCTCCCGAGTGCTGGGATTAAAGGCGTGCGCCACCACCGCCCGGCTTTGTTTTTATTTTATATAGATTGATGTATTGCCTGCATGTATGTCTGTGTGAGGGTACTGGATCCTCTGGAACTGAAATTTATAGACAGTGAGCTGCCATGTAGGTGCTGGGAATTGAACCCAGGTCCTCTAGAAGAGCTCTTAACCATTGAGCCATCTCTCCAGACTCTAAAAAAATTTTTAAAGAAAGATTTAATAAACATTTCTCTAAGAAGTTACACAGATAACCAATAAGCACCATTTTTTTTTTTTTTTGAGACAGGGTTTCTCCATATAGTTTTGGTGCCTGTCCTGGATCTCACTCTGTAGCCCAGGCTGGCCTCGAACTCACAGAGATCTGCCTGACTCTGCCTCCTGAGTGCTGGGATTAAAGGCGTGTGCCACCACTGCCCGGCAATAAGCAAATTTTTTAAAATACCATCCAAACCAAAATTTTAAGATCCCACTAGGATGGCAATAAATTTTTAAAAACAACTGAACTAAAAATTAGTACTGTCAAGGGCAAGAGTTCAAAGCAATAAATGCTCACATTTCCTAGGGAAATGGGAATGACACCAGCACTGTGTTGAGAATGGCCCAGAACAAAACAACAATCTCCAATCTGCACAATGGCCATCAGTTGGCGAGTGGCAAAATGATACATGGTGTGAGAATGACATATGGTGTGACATGATGGTATATGTTTATAATCCCAGAACTTTGGAGGTGGGGTCAGGAATACCAGCAGTTCAGGGACAGCCTCAGTTATATAGCAAACTCGAGGACAGCCTGGGTACCTGTCTGAAGAAGAAAATAATACAGTATATTCATACAATTAGATATGCAGCAAGGAACGTGAATAAAACTACCGATACATGCAGGACTCTTAAAAGCATTAAGCTGAAAAATGTCCGATGTAGGACTCTATACACTTCAATTCCATTTATAAAAACTAAATGGAAAAAACGGAAAGCAATAATGTTTGGCTAGCTAGGGACTGGATGGAAACAGAAACTGGGAATTTTCCAGAGTAACAGAAGAATTCTCAAAGTCAATTTTAGTGGTAGCTGACTAATTCTAAAAATATAATAAGGATCATGTTTGTTTATCTTAATGGATTTTATAGTATGAAAATGTACCAAAATGATATTGATAAAGGAAAAAACTTTCAAAGAAAGTTATTAACTACAATGTAATAATATATACATATGTACCCCTCCTCAGATAAGGGAATATTTTTAGAGGGGGTGGTTTTTCATGACAGGGTTTCTCTGTGTAGCCTTGGCTGTCCTGGAACTCGCTCTGTAGCCCAGGCTGGCCTTGAACTCACAGAGATCTGCCTGCCTCTGCGAGATTGGATTAAAGGCATGCGCCACCACATCCCAGCTGATAAGGCAATCTTAAACTCTACTTTCTTTCCTTTTTTTCTTAAGAGATAGGGACCTCACTTTGTTGTCTAGACTGGCCACAGACTCCTAGCTCAAGAAATTCCTCCTGCCTGAGCCCCTAAAAAGCTGGGACTGGAGGCATGTGCCACTGGAGCCATCGACAGTTGACTACTCACTGCTTTCCCACACAGCAGTCTCTACTGGCCAAAAGAGAGATTATTGTTACTACAGGTTTCTATTCTGTAGTGTATGCCTCCATATAAACAGACATAGACATAGTTTCCAAAAAGATAGATCTCTAAAAAGAGACTTCTTGGGCTCCAAGGTCTAAACTGTACCCATATAAAGGAAAGCTTATAAGATAAATAGAATGTAGGACAAGAGCAGAATGTTCCCAGTCTAAACTCCAGCTATAAAATATGCCTCAGATAACTCGTGACTTGGGGGAACTCTCCAGCCAATGCAAGAACACTTTCCCAGGAAGAGACAGAAGGCCCACTGTCTCCAGCTTATATAGAAGGAAAAGTTAAAGAAGGCACTGAGCTGAGAGTAGCAGGGCCAGCACTAAGGTGGAGCAGGAGGGTTAGTTAGCTCAAGTCATCTTCAGCTACGTAGGTTCCCAGGCCAGTTTGAGCCACATGAAATCCTGTATTAAATTAAGGCAAAGGGGGCTGGTGATTTACCGGCCCATTGATTAGAAGGTCCATTAGAATGGCAGAGTGATTAAGAGCAACAGTCACCTTCCTGATGGCTCAGTGGATAAAGGCACTGGCTGGGCAAGCCTGACAACCTGAGTTGGATCCCCAGGACTCACATAAAGGTGAAAGGACAGAAGTTACAAAATATCCTGACCTCTAGAAGTGCACTGTGGCATGCACATGCTCCTCCACCCCCATCATACATACCCACACCCATCCACCTCCCTACACATAAATAATAAATTACTGGGTTTTGCTAGCGGGCAGCCGAGCTCCAGGTTTCAGGAGACCCTGTCAGAAGGGAATATGGAAGAGCACGATAGAGCAGGGCACCACATGTCCTCATTTGGCCTCTACATGTGTGTAGCTGCTTGGGCATTTGTACCTGACCACACATATTCATGGAGCCCACACAATAGCTAAACTTTGGTCCCTGGGTCTACAATGTAGCCCCCACTAGCATCCCTTCTTAGAACTGGAAAACAGGACCTGGAGAGCAGAGAATATACCAATACTGTTTAACAAGATTTAGAAGAACAAACATATGAGTCACACTTTCTGATTCATTACATGAAAGACTTATATTTGAATATTGTAATGCCTTAATTGAGAGTACTGTTCCTAACTTCTTAGAGTTTGTGTTAACTTGCCAGTTTGAGTGTATTCTAAGACAAGAAAACAGAACAAATCCTCCTTAGAATTACTTCGGCACTTTTAGAGCTAACTGGGCAGAACATAAAATCATGCAGAGGATTCCCTGGAACAGAGAATCCACAAAAGCAGGGTCCTGGGGCATGAGGAAGAGCTGGCTCGGCTCCTTCACGGCTTCTGGTGAGGCAGAAGCGCGACATGACTTTATAAGGGAGCTACTGCTGACCTCTGAGCCTGCAGCAACTACGCTTTGCAAGTACAGTACCTTACGTCAGGTAGAATGAAGCCTACTTAGTGATCCTTTCTAATCATCTCTGTTCCCAGCATTACACTCTCAGCTTCTCCTACCATCAGCTTTCCATCTGTCAGATGAGGTAGAAGCAGCAGCAGAGGCAACCTAAGAACAGCCTTCCCAAGACTACATGCTTTTCAGCATAGGCAACACCCATTGTTAGGAACATTTGTGACCCTTGATTATCTAGAAAAAGAGAAAGTAGAATATCCAAATTTTTTCATTTAAAACAAGTGAGCTAAGAGACTTGAAAACTTACCTGAGAACATTTTGACAAAGTTATCAGTGGTCATACTCATCACCACGTCTGCCCGATTGGAGGGCTCTCCATGTCCAACTTTCCCACCCTTACTCTTCAGATCAAGAAACCATGTGCCACCATCTTCCCCTGCACAGATAAATATGTGAAAATAAGCACAATCATTCCTACAGTATTAACAATCTCCCACCATGTGGCCCCTGGTTAAAATCCTCAAGCTACCATTGAACTCAGCATTTACTATGGTTCAAGTACTATGCTAGGTGTTCTGGAGACCATTCAGTAACAAAAAGCAAAGCCAGGTTCTTCTCCAAAGAGGAAGCAGAGGTGATGTAGGTGTGTTAACAGAGGGACAGCAAAGCTGGAGTAGTGGGATTCACACAGAAGTTACAACAGTGCTTAAGAGGGGCTGGAGTGAAGGAAATGGCTTGGTGTTTATTGGACAGAGCGCTTCAGTTTGGAGATGGACGGTGGTGAAGAAGACAGGCTGTTGAGGTGTTTCTAGAAGAAAGGCGTGGTCAACAGCCTCAGGTCCTGCAGAGGAGTTACAGGGAGGGGGACAAATACCCATTGGTGGCACAGCCATCATGTAGGACTGTGCTCAAAACACATTCTGGAGAACAAAGAAACACTGGAGGGACTACGCTCAATAGAGTAAGCTGAAGATAAAAGGAAGTATGGCTCTGAGAGAAAAAGACAGGGATCATGGTTTGGGGGAACTGTTACTTTCTGTTCCAACGACGGAATATAGTTGAGAACATTACAATAACTGCTAGAAAGGAGGCTGCAGGGTGCACACGTTGAAGAGGAGGCACAGTCGGCTGGATGGTTCCGAGGGAGGCTCTAGCCTCTAGGATACGGGACCTCTACCCCTGACACTGCTAGTGTCGTCCAGGAACTACTCACTGTCACCATCTGTCGGAAATGGAGACTCAGTTGCCCCTACCTACTGGATCACACTCTCCATCTGAGGAAGAGTCTAGGGACAGTTAATCAAGCTTGGGATGCTCTGATGGAGAGCTAAGCTCTCTCCCACTGGGGAGAAAAGGAGGCCCATGACGGGCGATTTACATTGGATGGCGGGAAGCTGACAATAGACAAGTCTAAAGTGCTGCTTAGACCTATCTGAAGAGGGATAACAGATGAATCCCTCCAAGTCCAGCTGATGTTAGTGCTTTGATTTTTGTCTAACAAGATTGTGCAGCCTTGATGCAACTCTGGGGCAACCAGATAGTCTGATTCATCCAGAACTAAACCTTTGATAGATAGGTCATGAAATAAGCATGAAAGGTTCAGCAAGTTTGGGATATCAGGGGGAAAAAAAAGACTGAAGCAACAGACCATGAGTTCAGAAACAAAAAGGAAGTAAGAAGGGTAGATTGAGGCATGGCAGAGAACAGCATAAAGAATGACAAAGTTTGCATATAGCGGAACGAAAGTTGTTCTTAAAACTACCATTAACCTGCGTCACTTTTATCACATAGGAAAACATGCGAAGCATTGTCGTTGTTGGTTTGGTTTTTCAAGATGGGGTTTCTTGTGTAACAGTCCTGGCTGTCCTGGACCTCACTCTGTCGACCACGCTGGCCTCTAACTCAGAGATCCACCTACCTCTGCCTTCCAAGTGCTGGGATTAAAGGGGTGTGCCATCACCACCCAGCTCATGTGTAGAGGTTTTCATACTGACCTAACTCAAACATAAAAATGGTCAGCTGCCCACAACTGATCAATTACTTTATTATATTACCTGTCACAATGCATATGTCCATCTATGTAGGATTTCCTCTCTATTATATATACCAAAGAGTTATTTAACACTGAAAGTATATGCTGTGAAAATGTATTCTACATGTTTCCATATAAACAAATCTATCTCAAAAAATATAAATTGATTGTTGTTAGTTTTGAGTGTCTATTTTCTTTTCTTTCTTTTTTTTTTTTCTCCGAGACAGGGTTTCTCTGTGTAGTTCTGGCTGTCCTGGATCTCACTCTGTAGACCACGCTGGCCTCGAACTCACAGAGATCTGCCTGCCTCTGCCTCTCAAATGCTGGGATCAAAGGCATGCGCCACCACCACCTGGCTTGAGTGTCTATTTTCAATAGTCCTAGATACACCTAACAATCCAGGTACCAAAGGCTGGTTTTCTTTCAACAAAAATTTTCTTCCCACTGTTTCATAAAAGGCCCAGATCATCAGACACAATTTTCACCTGAGAGTTCAAACTGATAGACTGCTTGTGTGGCTCGAACGACCTCATCACTGAGAGATTCCTTAACAATTCTAAATGTTTCTTCCACAGCTCCAAAATGTGGTTTTGGTGGTGGCTGTGGCTGCAGCTGTGGTGGTGGCTGTGGCTGTGGCTGTGGCTGTGGCTGCAACTGTGGCTGTGGCTGTGGCTTCTCTTCTTTTACTTGTGGCACAGGATCTGTAAAATATAATTTACATAAACAGCCTTAAGGCCTTGGCAGTGTGAGACCAAAAACACAATTAAAGCAGGACAGACTTGCTACCAAAAAGCCCTATTTGACCAAATGATTTTAAATGCATTAAGTGGCATCTAAAAGCATAAATCTAACTGATAGGAAAAGCAGCCAATCATGTCAGTTATGACTGTGAATGCTAAGAAGCTATCTCTCTTAAAAGGCTGGCTTTTAAAATAGGCTACGAACAACCAAACCAAACAAAGCCACAGCTAAACAATACAATGATCACACAAAGTAACTACAATTTAAGGGATATTACTCACCCTTTTGGATGGTCCATCTAAGCTATAAAACCAAATGGTATGAAAGATGGAGATCTAGAGTAGTAGCCAAGTAAATATTACTTTGTAAGTAAAATGTATTCACCTAATCCTTCCCCCACATACTAAACCTAAGTTCATCCCCTAATCTTGTAAGTGACAGGAAAGAACCACTTCTCAAGACGTCTACCATTTCTACATGTGTGCCCTGCAACACGGGCACCCATGTGAGCACACACACACATCAACAAATAATTTTTAATGTACCAAAATAAGTCTGCAGATGTAGTTCATTATTAGAACACTTGTCTAACATGTGTAAAGCCTTGGCTTTAATCTCTAGCACGGGATAGATGCGCACGCACACACGCGCACTCTACTGTATGAATCTAGGAAGTAACTATGGTACACAGACTCAGTCTAATAAACATAGGCCTGCTTGTGCTTTGGCTCAAGAGAGATCTCAAGCAGGAACAGTTCAACCTGTCTAAACAAAAGAGAAAGCTACTCACATATTTAAGCCTCTAGATTAGAGTCTGAGTTTACCCTTCTGTTTGACAGATGCTGCTTTTCAAGAATGACTCAGGGGGTGGCAGTGCACACCTGTAACCCCAGCACTCGGGAGGCAGAGGCAGGCGGATCTCTGGGAGTTCGAGGCCAGCCTGGTCTACAGAGCAAGTTCCAGGACAGGCATCAAAACTACACAGAGAAACCCTGTCTCGGAAAAAAAAAACAAAAAACAAAAACAAACAAACAAAATGACTCAGTATTATTCTTCCTTCTCATCTTTTAACTCGAAGTTCAAAGCTTAAAGCTTCCAAAGGAGAAGAGCAGAAAGTAGAGGAGAGGACAAGTCTATTGGAAGAGAGTCGGGATGGAGATCCTAAGGGAAAGGAGCCCTGGGTAGGGGAAGGAATTCTGTAGTGGTGCATCATGGAAAGTACATGCCCACAGCTTGGCTGATAAAAATGGGGAAGGCAGGGGCTGGAGAGAAGGCTCAGCAGTTAAGAGCACTGGCTGCTCTTTCCAGAGGACCTGGGTTGGGTTCTCAGCACCCACATGGTGGCTCACACCATCTGTAACTTCAGTTCCAAGGGATCAGATGCCCTCTTCTGGTCTCATGAGGCACTAGGTACACACGTGGTACACATACATGCAGGTAGGTAAAAACTCACACACACACAAATGGGAAAGTTAGCAGAGGTGAAGGTGGGCCTAAGTTGGCCTTGTACCATGGTGGTAGCTGAGAACCCCCAGAAAAAAAAATCATTAGAAGGGCAGAATGGAGCAAAAGCAATGAATATGTCCCTGCCATCTCATTACACTAGCTCCAGGATATCTCTTGTAAGAGAACAGATTAGTAAGAATGAACCAATAACCTGATGCTGTGAAAACAGTATCATACTGGGGTAGGAGTAAATTATGGTGGAAAAAAAACAAAGTCTATTTATACAACAGCTTACTATAAAACTCAAAAATTCCTTCACATGGAAGCTATGCTTATGATGTGTTGGTCTCAACAAGCACACCACCATGGAGGAGGATGGAGGCACCGCATCAGGCATGGGGTATAGACGGCCGTCTGGCGCCTTCCTCTGATTTTGTCGTGAACCTGAAGCTTCTCTGAAACCTCAGGTCTTACAGACACACTGTGTGAAATGGGTGCTGGAAACCATGCATCACTGGCTTAGTGGAACAAGAAGATAAAGTACAAAAGCAAGTCTGAAGCCAGTGACTTGACAAACAAAAATACAACAGTGACTGTTCTTAATGTAGACAACTGAACAGAAATAAAACTCTAGCCCAGCAGTGGTGGTGCACACCTTTAATCCCAGCACTTGGGAGACAGAGGCAGGTGGATCTCTGAGTTAGAGGCCAGCCTGATGTACAGAACAAGTTCTAGAACAGCCAGGGCTACACAGAGAAATCCTATCTCAAAAACAACAACAAAACTGTAGAGAATCTTGACAGATGACATAATACTGAGGATAAACTTGACAGGGTTTTTTCAAATACAGAAGAAAAATGCAGGAAGATGGAACAATGAAGTGTGCTGTTAACTGTAGGGAAAGGGAGAAGAGCCCAGCTAGGAATGCATGGTGCTGAGAACTCAGAGCAAATGAACATAAGCAACCAGAACTATAACTAAATAAAACAAAGAAGTAAACTAGAAAAGACTAAGTAGGCTTCCTGTGTTCCAGCAGGGAGCAGAGATAAGGAACATCAACAAAATGGCAATGATGTGTTTGTGGTAAAAAGTAAACTCCATTAATTAAAAACCATGTACAATGTTTATTATACTCTCTCTCCTCTCCGTCTCTCACTATAACATATAAATTTGTATCAGATACATGTGTATGTATATATATTATATGTGTGCAATATACAAATATATATGTATAATACATATATAATGTATGTGTGTGTTAATTTTTTTTGTTGTTATTTTTTGTTTTTTGTTTTTCAAAACAGGGTTTCTCCGTGTAGTTTTGGTACCTGTCCTGGATCTCGGCTCTGTAGACCAGGCTGGCCTTGAACTCACAGAGATCTGTCTGGCTCTGCCTTCCGAATGCTGGGATTAAAGGCGTGCGCCACCACCGCCCGGCCATGTGTGTTAATTTGTATCATATATATGTACATATACAGACATATAAATTAATATATACAGTACAAATTCCAGAAGAGGTACAGCCAACAGTTAACAGGGGCTATCATCAGTAGTGGATCCAAAAGAAATGTGAACCTCTCACCAGGAAAATGAGGGCTACACACTGAGCCTTTTGAGTTAAAATATACAGAAAACAGGCAATAGATCTGGATGTGCACATGAAAATGTCAGATGTGCACCATCTGACAAAGGCAAATTCCACCCCAGGCCAGCTATACTAACTACTGCCTGTGTAAGTACACCATATGCCCACAGGAGATGTCCACTATAACTGCCAGTGATGACCCCAGAGAGGCTAGGCAGAGAGAGCTATGGAACTGAGTGCTGTATCTAGCACGGTGAGGAGAAGGCTGCCCAAGGCCAGGAGTGTTCTGACCTCCAGGGTGAGAAGTAAGAGCATCTTGGTAATGGGAACTGCTAATAACAACTCTACCCACCAAAGCCTGCTGTCAGTGTCTCACACTCCACTCTTTAACCCCTCTTGTTCTGAGCCCGCAGCCACAAATGACCTTCCGATTGATATTGTTCCTCCTGTAATTGTGCCCAAAGGGAGAGAGAGTGCTGAACATGGCAGCTACATATTTAGTCTCTGTGGCAACTCCTCATTACAAATTAATATATGGCACTACTGGGGAACTTTTAACATTTTAAAGGACATTTTAGAATTCAGGCTTTAGGGACACAGTTATGTAGACAGGCTTTGGAACTAGAAAAACATGAATCCAAACCCTGGCTCTGCCCCCTTCCAGCTGTGTGAATACAGCTCAGGTCAGGTCCTCAGTATTAAACGAGGCAGACAAAAAAAGCTGCCCCAGCATTTAGAACACAGGAGGCACATAATGAACGTAAGACAGCCAATTAAATGGTTCTTATTTGAAATTGAGAACTTAGATAAACTCAGTTCATGTGTCTCCCGCTGGAAGACAGATCCAATCTTAGGGTGTTTGGCCAAAAACAGGATTTGGGGCCTCTTGCCTTGAAGACCAGACTCAAGGATTTTCTAAGAGTTCTGGGTGATTTCTGCCATTCTGTACGAAATCTTTTGAGAAACAGATTAATGATCCTATTTCCTGGGTTTTTCTCTCCTGGTGAACCAAGGATCTAACTTTTAAACTGGCAGTCTCTGGACTATAGGGCTATGAGTCACTATTTTCCTTTCTATAGCTTTTTTTAATTGTACAAAAGAAAAATTATTCTTTTACTATCTAATTTTTTTAACTTCTTCAAAAATTTAGATAAAGCACAGACACAGAAAAGACATGACTAATCTGGAAATAAAGTTTGACAGTAAATGCATCAAGGTCCTACAGATGTCTTAAAGGCACAGAGAAAATTTGTTCCTAAAAACTTTTGTTACAAAATGTTTCTTGCAATTTGTACCGTATCAAGCTGATGAAAGAATATGCTGGCTGTACTTTCAGGAGTGGAGGCTATAATCTTTTTAGATTATGGATTAGCCTATAGAAAAATGTACGCTGTAAGTTAACTCTGTAGCTCACACACTATTGAGCCTGTATGATAATGAGTATTCAGAGACGGGTAATGCCTGGGGGGCGCTCACCATCCTAAGACAGAGCGCCTGTGTGGCCTGGGCAGGTGTCTCCATGACAGGTAAAGTGACCTGTTGATGTCCCACGCAACCTAAGTCAGAAGCTCATTTTTTAGTAAAAGGGGGACCTGTAGGGTCCTGGCCCCTGTTTTGGGTAACTGTTGCCTTGCTTGCTGACCTTGACCTTGATATCCTCCCTATGCTAATTCCCTGCTGGGTTCCACCCTCCTGAATGCTTAAGGGAAGTTCCTTGTCTGTGTATCCTGCATAATGGGTGTTAACAGCTTAGATGCAAGATTGTAAAACATCGGTAGTGAACTTCTGCCCTCCAGGGTTCTCTCATTGTGCTGTAAGCCTGTATTTAAGGCCTCTTCCCTCCTTCAATAAACAGCATTCAGCATTAAATAAAAAAAAAATGTCTGCTGTAAATCAAACAGTGAAGGGGAAGATGAATAGGAATCTCACTTACACAACTTAAGTAAAACGTAGCTCTCTGAACAGATGAAGATAGGTTTCTTCTGTATCCCAGAATCAATATTTATATGTATAATTCAGCTTTATTTGGTTTAAAGGGGTTTATTGGGAAATGTTATCATTTTTACTATTTTCTACAGAGAACATATTTTCCAGTTTCAAATAACCCTGGACTTTTGAAATATAATCTGCTTTTACTTTCAAGATGTCTGTGTATTATTTCTCCTGCAGTTGTACATAAAATGTTTTTACATTAAAAAAGGACAAATACTATAGAATTGTATTACATGAAATATATAAAATATACAAATTCATAGAGACAGAAAGATTAGATGTTATCTCAAGATGGAGAAGAAAGGAATATAGAGCAATGATTTCCTAAGTACAGAATCTCTGTTTTGTGTGATGGAAAAGCCCCCCAAATGGACAGTAGTATCAGGACATAATATCATGAATGTAATAAATCAATACAATCAATGTAATTAATGAATATCATAAATATAGTTATTGAATGAATACTGCGAATGTAATCAATGAATACCACAAATATAATTAATATCATGTGTAATTAATATCTTGAATATAATTCATGCCACTGAATTGTGAACTTAAAAATGGTTACAATTGCAAATATTATGTTCATTTAAAAAAAATAAGGTGGAATGTAATCATCATACATTATATGTGTGTGTGAAATTGAAGACAGAGATGTTCTAAAATAGAAAGTGGTGATGGTATCATGGGCCTATGAGGATGCTGGACTAAAGTCTATCAAATTGTGCAAACATGCAAATTGTATACTATGTGAAATATCTGTCAATAAAGATTTTATAAAACATAAAAAAAATGTTTCTTGTGATATGTTTCATGAAACCATGGGTGTTATGCTAGATAGATCACAAGGATTAAGAGGTAACACACACACACACACACACACACACACACACACACACACACACACACATGCACGCCAATAATTCAAGGTCCATTGTCACTGAGTTACAAAAACAGAATGAGGTAAGCCCAAAACCTCCTTTGAAATTAACGTCCCAGCTGGGCGGTGCTGGCACTCACCTTTAATCCCAGCACTTAAGAGGCAGAAGCAGGTGGATCTCTGTGAGCTCAAGGCCAGCCTGGTCTGTGAGTTCTAAGACAGCCTGGGCTACACAGAAAAATCCTACCTCCACGCCGCCGCCCCCCACAAAAAAAAAAAATCTCTTCATAAAGTAGTCACATAGTAAAATTATGTTAGATATACTCTAATAGGACACATCTTCCTCCCAATATCAACATAAAATACCCAAAGACAGATGTCAAGGAAAAGACACAAAACTGAGGGAACAGCTACAAAAACAAAAGTCTTTCTTTCTAGATTTCCAGAATTTTACACAATGTATTTAAGTTACAGAATAGTTTAGAGCAGTGGCTCTCAGCTGTAGGTCGCAACCCCTTGGTGGTGGTGGTGGTGGTGGTGTGGGGGGGTCAAACAGGTATCAGATATCCTGCATATTAGATATTTACATTATGATTCATAACAGTAGCAACATTACAGTTATGAAGTAGTAATGAAAATAATTCTATGGTTGGGGGTCACCACAACATGAGGAACTGTATTAAAGGGTTGCAGCATTAGGAAGGTTGAGAACCACTGGTTTAGGGGCAGAGGGCAAAAATATTGTTACAGCATCAACTCTGTTTTACAAGAAAGTCAGTTAGTTTTTGTATTTTTCTATTTAAAATATGGTTTGCCTGGACAAGGTGGTACATGCCTTTAATCCCAGCACTTGGGAGGCAGCGACAGATGATCTCTAGGAGTTCAAGGCCTGCCAAGGTTACATAGTGAGACCCTGTTTCAAAATATATATATATATGCTCTAGAATCTTCATGTTAGAGAGATGGCTCAGCAGTTAAGAACACTGGCTACTTTCCCCAGTGGACCCTGGTTTAATTTCCAGCATCCATAAGGCAGCTCACAACCATCTCTAGCTCCAGTACACTTGGAGTTCCAACACCCTCTTCTGGCCTCTGCAGCACCAGGCACTCATGTGGTATACAGACATATATGCAGGCGAAATCCCCATCCACATAAAATAATAATAAAGTATGCCCTAGAATCTTACCATGTGACTCTGTTTTCTTCATAGTTTCATCTGGGTGTTCATCTAAGAAGAAATCTGGTATCAAGGGATGGCCTGAAAAATTAACCACCAAATAGTAAGGTTGTAATAATTATATAATAATGATTACACTATATTAAGAATCTAACAATTTTTAATAAAATTCATATCCTTTTTTCAAAAAATTCTTTTGTGCTAATGGAAAGGGCCCCTAGATAATTGAACTATTTGATCTAATCTATTAAATTATCTTTTTCTGTAACTGTTATCCTTTTCCCCTCTGACAAATTTAATCTTAAGATCTAATTTTATTTGTGTTGTTGTTTTGTTTTTCATGACAGAGTTTCTTTGTGTAGCCTTGGCTGTCCTAGAACTAGCTCTGTAGACTAAGCTGGCCTTGAACTCCCAGAGATCTGCCTGCCTCTGCCTCCCGACTGCTGGGATTAAAGGTGTGCACCACACGCTGTCTAAGATCTAATTTTTTGTTTCATTTTGTTTTCTGACAAAGTCTCACTAGTTCTGGCTAACCCAGAACTCCCTATATAGATCAGGAAACTTGCAGCAGTCCTCCTGTCTCTGCTTCCCAAGCACTAGAATTACATGTGGCTATGGCCAGATATGTATTTGTATGCAGGGATATATATGAGTGTGTGTCCACATGTATGTGTGGCTGTGCACACCTGTGTCTGTGTGTATGTGTGTAAAGGCCAGAAATCAACATTAAGTGTCCTCGTCAGTCACTTTCTGCCTTATTTTTAGACGGTCTCTCACTGGATCTGGAGCTCACTGATTCAGTTAGACCAACGGCCCAGCAAGTCTGTCCCCGTCTCCCAGCTCTGTGATTAGAAGCGTGCAAAACGTACTCAGCCTTTTACTACAGAACAGCAGTGACAAAGACTCATGGTTCTGGCACCAAAGCCGACGTGGAGGCCAGCAGAAGAGAACTGAAGGTCCAGAGAGAAACCCACAGAGCTGCAGTCACCTGACCTGTGACCTGATCCACACTCAAGTCCTCACGTTTGCACAGAAAGCCCTTTACACACTCAGCCACTTCCTCAGACCCCGAAGGTCTTTTTCTTTGCTTTTCTTCTGCTGCTTTTTGAAACATAGTCTCACTATGCAGGCCAGGCTAGTCTTGAACTCACTGTTTCCCAAGTGCTGGAATTAAAGGCATGTACCACCACACCTGGCTGGAGATCTGATTGGCACAAACGAACCTGTCCCCTCTATTGAGCTGTCCATCAATTCCTTAGCCCATTTACTGACTGGGAGATTTGAGGGCATGGTTGAGTTTTCAGTTCTTTATATTTTCCCAGCACCATCTGTTGAAGAAGCTGCCTTTCCCCACTCCCAATTTTTAAAACATTTGTCACAGGTCAGGTGACTGCAGCTCTGTGGGTTTCTCTCTGGACCTTCAGTTCTCTTCTGCTGGCCTCCATGTCAGCTTTGGTACCAGAACCATGAGTCTTTGTCACTGCTGTTCTGTAGTACAGTCTGAGGTCAAGTGCTATGACACCTCCAGCATTGTTCTGCTAGGGCTGATTTGGTTATTGGGGTCTTTTGTACTTCCCTATGAATTTTAGTACTGTACAGAGGGATGGGGAAAGGAATGGGGTAAGAAGATCAATAAGGCCGGGCGGTGGTGGTGCATGCCTTTAATCCCAGCACTCCGTAAGCAGAGCCAGGCGGATCTCTTGTGAGTTCGAGGCCAGCCTGAGCTACAGAGTGAGTTCCAGGAAAGGCTCAAAGCTACACAGAGAAACCCTGTCTCGAAAAAACAACAACAACAACAAAAAAAAGACGACAATCAATAACAACAAACTATGTATGAAAACATCATATTTAATTCATTACTTTGTATGTTGTTGTTATTGTTGTTTTGATTTTTGAGATAGGGTCTTTCTACATAGACCTGGCTGTCTTGGAATTCACTATGCAGACCAGGCTAGCCTCCGAACTCAGAGACCCGCATGCCTCTGCCTCTGGAGTGCTGGAATTAAAGATATATGTGCCACCATGCCTTGCTGTAGGTCATATTGCTCATTGGCTTTCTGGCTAAGATTAGCCATAAAACAAAACAAATAAAACCTCTTATGCAAAGCTGTTACTTTCCTGTAATCCCAGGAGCCTGCATCCTTATTGTCCTTATAGCCTCTCATCCTACATCCCTTCAGTGTGCTCAAGATCAACTTTTTTTTTTTTTTTTGGTTTTTCGAGACAGGGTTTCTCTGTGTAGCTTTGCGCCTTTCCAGGCTGGCCTCGAACTCACAGAGATCTGCCTGCCTCTGCCTCCCGAGTGCTGGGATTAAAGTCGTGCGCCACCACCGCCCGGCAAGATCAACTTCTTACTCGACCATGAGAGCAGGGGGTCTTAATTAAGGTCTTGTTTCTTAGCATCCGTGTATTTAGATCTCTTGTCTCTTCGTTTTTCTTTCTACCACCATGAAAACCAAGCAAAGCTAGGCTATTCTCTTTCACTCGGCCTTTTTCCAACTAACAGTTGTGGTTAGGAGGTTAACTATCTTAATATTATCTTAATATAAAATGACACCTACAGTACATGGACACGAGGAGAACTGAGGGTCACAGAGCCTTCAGGATTGTAGCCCACACACACGTAGGGCAAGTAACGTTATTTCCGTTATATGCTAAAATCACAGTACCTCATCATATTTCTTGACACTTGGCAGGATTTTGGGGAGAGGAGATAGGATCTTGCTATACAGCTGAAGCTGGCCTCAAACTTATGTTCTTCCCTCTTCCACTTTCCAAGTGCTAAGAATGCAGGCCACAAATTTAAAAATCTATATAAAATGGCATATCTTAAAACCGAAAATGAGCCAGGTGTGGTGGTACACACCTGCAATACTCAGCAGAGGCAAGAGGATCATGAGTTCACCAACCTGAACAACATAGTGAGACCCTTACTCAGAAAGCCAAGAGCTGGGAATACAGCTCAAGGGTAAGTGTGTGTGCTTGCCGGTGTGTGTAGGTCTACAGCTGGATCCCCAGAACAATGCCCACTGACACAAACGCCCTAAAGGAATCATTACAATGCTCCAAATCCAGAGGACCTAAGTGTGTCTCATTCAGGTTCCCCCATCTACCCACAGGCAAAGTGCTAGAAGAGCTTTGAACCCATTCTACTACTTGTAAATATTAACTACTGAACACTGTGCCAGGTACACATTATACACACTTTTGCACGTAGTTCTGAAATCCTGCATAGAAAAAGTTATTTTCTTCAATTTTATTAATAAGGAAATGGAGGCTCAGAGAAATGGGTGACACCGCTAAGCGGCTGAGAAGCAGAGTTGAACCCTCAATCTGGGCTGACTTCTGCCAAATACTTTTCAGATTTATTTATTTAAATTTTTGGTTTTTTCATACAGGGTCTTAATGTGTAGCTCAGCTAGCCTAGAACTTGTTTTGTAGGCAAGGCTGGCTTTAAATTCATAGAGATCTGCCTGATTCTGTCTCCTGAGTACTAGGATTAAAGGCAGGTGCTACCATACCCTGATAGATTCATTTTTATTATTTGTGTGCATGGGAGTGAGTGAGTAAGTGAGTGAGTGAGTGAGTGAGTGAGTGAGTGTGTGTGTGTGTGTGTGTGTGGTGTGCACACATGCATGTGAGTGCCCAGAGTCCAGAAGAGGATGCAGGATCCCCTGGAGCTGGAGTTACAGGAAATTATCGGCTGGGAGAGAGACTTCAGTCCTCTGGCAGCAAGCAGGTGTTCTTTGTGGCTGAGCCATGCCCCCCCGACCCCCCCCCCCCCACTTCCAGGCTTTTCATCAGTTACCAGCGCTTCCCTCGGGGACTGCTAGGAAGGTTACACAGAGAACGCAGGAGAACACGCTCTGTAAAATGGTAACCCGCTGTTTAATTCAATTGGAACTGAGGGATGAAAAAATATAAACATGTAATTCAGTCATCTACAAGCCAGGTTCATGAATAACACTTAAAATATGCTCATGTACAAACAGAATTCCCAGTTTGGGGCTACAATCTCTATTGTTTAGGACATATCTTTTGTTTATTTTTTTCAGAGAAAGGACTATGTTGCCCAGGTTGGTTTCTTACTCTTGGGCTCACGCCACCTTCCTACCTCAGCCTCCTGAGTAGCTGGGAGTACAGTGGAGATCTCTGCACCCTGCTTAGTATAAATATAGTTCATATAAAGTAAAAATTCATTATCATACTTATCTGTAATTTCAAAGGAAGAGGTTTTTAAACAGTGGAAAGTTCTGGAAATCCTCAAATTAGACAACTATTTGTAAGACAGACTTGCTCATGCATCTTCATAGTCTAAGAGATTTTGCTTAAAAACAAACATTTTAAAAGGGTGTGGGTTTTATTTTTGCTTGTTTTTTGAGGAAAAGGAGAATAAAGAACTCTACTCCTGTATCATCTGTCACACATGTCTGAATCTTCACTCTGATTTCTAAGACTAACTTCAAAATGTTCAGTTTCCTAATTTGGAAGTGGATAACTGAAACAACCTTCTACATCATCGTGTAATTTCAAAAGCCCTGATCTCACTTCTATCTGATTATCACCTTTCAAGGTAGAGGTGGTGTGGGGTTTTCCCTTCAGTGAGATATACCTTGTAAAATAATACTCATTTTATAACCACACAAACACACATAAAACACGTCTGTCCATTGTACAAAACGTGGGAAAACATTACTTAAATAACTATAAGCATTACCTGGTACAATCGCATAGACATCAAAATTGCTTATTCCTTCTTCTTTTAAGATATTTTCATCAAGAATGAAGTTTCCAGTAAAACTTTTTGGCCTTTTGAAAATGGAATATGCAGCATCCGCAATGATGTCCGCTTTTCTACACTGGCTTTCAATACCAGCTCCTCCAAGCATATCCATAGCAGCAGTATGTATAGCTGTAGAGAAAACATGAATACACACATGACTCCACATCAAAGAAGACTATGGAAATAACAAGCTGGTACCACTATTCAAAATTGCCAAGGCAAATTTCTTTCTCAGATGATGAAAAATAAGGCCAAGTTAAGGAATTCACTAAATGTTCTATAGACAGAACTAGGGAGACAACGAAACAAACATGTCCCTTACTCAACACAAAATCAAGGAGACAAGCAAGCAAAGACGTCTGTTCCTCAACACAGACTGCACATGCAGAAATCCTTCATGAGAAGCACAGCAAACCTCCTTAGAGTTCTCATTTAGAATGTTCAAGAATTTGTACAGCAGTCTTGAGAGTTTAAAAAGCCAGTAAGGGCTAACAAAAAGGCACTGAGCTGAATGACAGGCAAAGAGGATTTCTACACCGACTGGCCCATGATTTCTGGCAAGCCACTTCGACCCTTTGGACCTCAGCTTCCTCTCTAAAATACGAAGCTCCCTTCCTCCGTTTCCATCTCTGCCCTCTGCATTAGAAAACGTGGACTCTGCTTCTAATTTGTCACCGTACCGCCAATGTCTAAACAATGACAAGGCTGGAGGTGACCCTCCTCTCTGCTGCCATTACCAAAGCAGTAACTACATGGCCACCCCCTCCCTACACACACACACCTGCGTAAAAATCTGCTCCAAAGTGGACTTTCCTGTTCCCACCACTCTGGTCCAGTCACTCCCTCTACTTAGCAGAAACTATGAAAAGATCTTGTAAGAAGAAAAAAAAAAATCACAGTCCTGGAAACAACTTAGCTAAGAGCCTGAGATCCTCCTTCAAGAAAACACTAGAACTCCCTGCCCCCAATCCCTTCTCTGTACATGCTAAATTCATCAGAGGCAAAGTACCACAGCCAGGAGGGCACGGCTGCCAGTGTAGAGAAGCAATGGTGTGCCCGCCAAGGTCGGCAGGCAGCTGGGACACGGCTCTGTTAGAATAATATGCTACCTGGTGTCCATGCACTAAGTAGGATGAACCCCCATGTCCTTGAAAGGCAGTCAGGGGAACACCTGGTTCCAGTTACATAGTCTTTACACACAGGGATGTGTTCTTAGAAACAGACACCTCACCCCAGCCTGGAGCATAGCTACCCTCTTGAGTCTACTTCCATCTCCCCTCACTCATGAATAATGCAGTAGTTTGGTTAACTGTCCCGCCTCCTCTCTATAACTCACTCATGTCAGACCAAATGTCCTCCATGAACACTGTATGGCTTTACTGCTCCTATTCCCCCTCTGCTTATTATCACTCTCCCTTTAAAACTCTTTCCAATAGCCCTCTACTGACTAGCTGCCAGGCTAGGGAAGGAACTCTTAATAGAGTACTTGTCTACCATAGGTGAGGCCCGTGTTTAATCCTCTGTGCCAAGTGAGAAAAAAGATCCAGTTGCTTAAGTTGGCATACGAGACCGCAGTCCAGGTCACTCATCCCCACCCCCTCCGCCCAGCAGCCTGAAGTACTGCAGATGCTCAAATGCCGTGGGAAACGGCAGCCCACAACGCATTACCCATGCACTTCCTCAATCTCCAGGCAGTCCACTATACACACAGGTTTGCTGTGCTGCATGGGGTCCTGCCGTTGTGCCTGCTGTTCCTGCTGTCCATGAATATCTTGTCTAGTTTCCTTCCTGCTAACCCCAACATCCTCTGGATATCATATTTCCATTCATACCTCCACTTGAAACTCTAACTCTTTAACAGGGGTGATGTGGCCCTCCTTCTGTGTTTCCAAAGCACTCTAGATGTAACTTCTCATATCATGCATCACAAGGAACACAACTGTAAATTCAATAATGTTATCATGACTAGGCCTAATGATAACACTGGCTCCGAAGTGTCTAGTAAACCACCTACAATAAATACCTCAGAGCTAAAGCAAAGACCTCAGCAAATCCTTTCAATCCTGATAATACCCTCCATCCTTCCTATTGCACAATGTCTACCTGTGATACAAGCTGTGTACAGAACGTCTATTTTAGAGCAAGCAGAAGGCAGGCATACTGCATACTCTTTCATCCACTGACTATTTATCAGTAGTCACTGAACTCTAGAACTAGAGAGATGGCTCAGCAGTTAAGAGCACTGACTGCTCTTCCCAGGGTCTTGAGTTCAATTCCCAGCACCCACATGGCAGCTGACAAACATTTCTAACTGTAGTCTCCTAGGACCCAATGCACTATTCTGGTGTACAGATGTACATGAAGATAAAACATCCATATATATATAACATACTTAAATAAACCTTCAAAAAGTTTCACTGAAATCTACAATGACTACAATAAGATGGACGGTTGTGGGATAGCTGTACACTGTTTGAGCATATATTGCTGTGACTGGTGTAATGAAAAGCTGAATGACTAATAGCTAGGCAGGAGGTATAGGCAGGACTTACATGCAGAGAGAGAACTCTGGGAAGAAGGCAGAGTCACCTGCCAGACACAGAGGAAGGAGAATGGGCAGTACAGAGAGATAAGGTAACAAGCCATGCAACAGAATGTCGATGAAAAAATGTGGGTTAATTTAAGTTATAAAAACTGGTTAAACAAGCATAAGCTAAGGCCGAGCTCCATAATTAATAATAAGTCTCTGTGTCATTATTTGTGGGCTGGTGGTCCCGACCAGAAACTACTACTATATAACAGATTCAGAAGACATGGTCTTCATCTTCAAGAAGTTTCCATTCAACTAAGGAAGGCACTAGACAACAATACTTATACAGTAATCAGTAAGTTATAAATGTTGTAAGTGATATAAAGGAGATTTACAGATTATCAAAACTAATAGTGAATCCTAATCTTGTAAGACCTATTAGCAACATTAATACAACTGATCATTTCCTCTCGTGACACTTCCTGTAAGTGGTCTGCCTTCAAGACTTCATACCATGAGTTTCTTCCTACCTTACCTGTGGAGTCCTTCTTTACAACCCATTCATGTTACAGTGACATAGTCCTTTCTCTGCTTCTCAGATGTCACATAATCTTGAGACTTTATATTACCATTCATTGCTGATAATCCATAAATGCTTACAGCTAACCCTCAGACTCGTCGGCTCAGTTGCCTACCATTAATCTCCATCTGGATGCTCCAATACAATGTCCCCAGTCAAGTCCTAATCTTGCTCCCTACCCTTCTCCATCTATACCTTCCTCCATCTCATCACGCAGCCACTGTTCTGGTTACTTTCCCTCAGAAGTCTTATAGTCATCGATGATTCTTCCTTATCTCTCTCATACCACATCCAGCCCACCAGCAGACCCTGCTGGCACTACCTTCAGATTACCTCAGCATCCGACCTCTCCCTCCTTTACTACCACCACCCGGTCATGGTCAGTGGTCAGCGCATCAGTGACTATGTTATGTTATTTCAGTAACCTCCAAATGGCTTTTCCTTTTGCTTCCTCAGCATCCAGCCTCAACACCCATTTTACTCAGTAAAATCCTGTTTGGCCTCCATTTCCTCATCAATATCAGACCATCATTTCCTACCACTTTGCCTCACTTCAGCTCCACTGATCTTCTCTCTGCTCCTGGATCCTGAGACCAGGCATTTCCATCCACAGGATCTTTGTATGGGCTGTATCCTTGAACACTTTTCTCTCAGCCACAAGGCTAACTTCAGTCACTTCCAAATCTTTGCTCAAAACCCACATTCTCAAAAAAGGTGAAACCATTCTACCCTACTAGAAGGTAAAACCTGGCTGGGTGCCTCCCTGCACTCAGAGGCAGAGACAGGTGGATCTCTGTGATTTGAAGGCCAGCCTGGTCTACAGAGTGAATTCTAGGAAAGCCAGAGCTGTGTAATAGAGAGACTCTGCCTCAAAAAAGTAAAATACATGAATAAATACAAGTTAAAAGCTTCTCTCTTCAATGCCAGAGACTTTTTACACACATTACTACCTTCTGGCATACCAGCTATGAACTCCCCTGCTCAAGTGGTTCTTCTGGCACAGCCTCCAGGCATATGGGACTATAGTCATGGGTGTCAGCCTAACACAACTACCACTTCTTTAAGTAGCCTTTCAAGCTGAGAAATCTAAGAGAATTTGCTGAAACCATTACTGTTGGCTTTCCTGAGACTCTCCATATGTTCTAGCATTATGCTCCCATCATAGCTGCTGGCTAAAGAGTCAGCCACTTAGTTAAAGCTGGGAACTGGACGACGACAGACTGTTATGATGCACAGTAAACATAAAGTCAGGGGGATGGAGAGATGGCTCAGGGGTTAAGAGCACTGTCTGCTCTTCCAGAGGACCCGAGTTCAATTCCCAGCAACCACATGGTGGCTCCCTAGTGCTAACTCTAGTTCCAGGGGACCCCGACACCCATGGCAAGAACACAAAAGCACATAAAAATAAAATAAAATCTAAAAAGATTATATAAAAAAACCATAAAGTCAGGTGACCTGAGATGCTTCACAAGTTGTCCAGGACAGGGCTGGAGAACTAGCTCACTGGCAGAAGGCTCACCTAGAGTGAGACACTGGGTTTGAGCCTGGTGTGGAGGAGAGTTACAAATCAAATTAAGTGATTTAAGTACAAACCTGTTTTAGGCCATAAGGCATTGACTGCAATTTCACCTCTAAATTCTTCTGCCATTCCAAGCACACACATAGACATGCCATATTTGGCAATGGTATAGGCTGAAAGAAACCACAAAAATAATAATATAATTGAGAAACAAGTCTTTGAGTAGAAACAACCAACTTTCTGTTAATATTTTCTCCCTGGTAAATTTTTGACAATTCTTTTCAAAATACAAAATACATAAGATAATTCTTTATGTAGACAAAAATGACTCTGTACTCCTGATTCTCCTGCCTCAGCCTCCCAAGTATTGGGAGTATGGTTCACATCTGACCAAATATGCTGGTGTTGTTTGTTTGTTTTTAAAGACTATATTTTTGTTAATTATGCATACATCTGTGTGTGCCATTGAGTACTGGAGGAGATCAAAGTTGTCAGATGCCCCTGGGCTGGTGTTACAGGCAGCTGTAGGCTGCCTGATGTGAGTGCAGATCTACATAGCAAGTTCCAGGACAGCCAGAGCTCCATGGTGAGACCCTATCTCAAAAACAAAGCAAGCAAACAAATGAAGACTGAAGGTGATTATTTACAGAGAGAGTTACACTCACAACTCAACGACACAGGTATGGTGTAACTTAGTGGTAGAATAGGTTCTCCAACACCACAAAATAAAAGGTAATCAGGGGCTGCAGAGATGGTCCAGCAGTTAAGTGCACACTGTTCTTGCTGAGGACCTGAGTTCAGTTTCCAGCACCTATGTCAGGCAGCTCCCAACTGCCTATAACTCCAGCTTCAGGGAATCTGATGCCTTTCTGGCCATTAATGGCACCTGCACTCACATGCACATAGACACACACACACACACACACACACACACACACACACACACACACAAATTTAAAAAATAAAGGCTTCCAATTGACTTAATTTCATCAACTAGAGAACAACTTTAGTCTTGCTCTGTGGGTTCCTACCCCAGTGCCTTCCTAAATGCAAGTGAATAAGAACTGAATATTTGATACTGCTTTAAGTGAGGTGTGATGCACAGTTCTTGTAAACCACCACATTCACCTTACGTCATTCCTTTGTTATGAAAAGTAAAGTATTTCATATTTTCAACTTTAACAAATTACATGTAAACAACATGCCTACTGAGACACACAAATCTGTATAACTTGAGTAGTTATACAGTATACATATTTGCCAAAATTCATTAAATCAAACCATTAAGACCTGTGAATTATATCAAGTGAAATTATACTTCAAACTTTTGAATTACAGATAAATGATTAAGAATTTACTATCTTGCCAGGCAGTGGTGGCGCACGCCTTTAATCCCAGCACTCGGGAGGCAGAGCCAGGCGGATCTCTGTGAGTTCGAGGCCAGCCTGGGCTACCAAGTGAGTCCCAGGAAAGGCGCAAAGCTACACAGAGAAACCCTGTCTCGAAAAACCAAAAAAAAAAAAAAAAGAATTTACTATCTTGAGCCGGGCGGTGGTGGCGCACACCTTTAATCCCAGCACTCGGGAGGCAGAACCAGGCGGATCTCTGTGAGTTCGAGGCCAGCCTGGTCTACAGAGCGAGATCCACAGGCACCAAAACTACACAGAGAAACCCTGTCTTAAAAAACAAACAAACAAACAAACAAACCAAAAGAATTTACTATCTTGATCACTGATGTAGCAGAAAATTCAATATTAAGTATTACATCCAGATTGTGATTACAGAATAAATACACTGATTAATTCAAAACAAATTAGCCAAACAAACTATACCCCCAGCTAACACTTACCACAGTGCTGTTTGAACCACAGAGGATTTAGGTTCAAGGGTGGGCTGAGATTGAGAATATGAGCTACTTTGCTCTTTCTTAAAAAAGGAATACATGCTTTGGATCTGAAAAAGAAAGAAACACAAGTCAAGTCAATAGCTTACGGTTTAAATACTTCTACAGAGCAACTGAAACTGCTCAGTCATCTATCTGGTACATCTTGTTTGCAGAGTACTTTTGTTTTCTAGACTGAAAATAATAAAAGGAACTGGTTTTCATGCTTGAAACCATGCTTCATGTCCTGACCACATGACCTGCTTGATGGATTAAAATCAAATCCGTCTCTATTAGCTTTATGCTCAACTGAGGATATCTTTAACCACAACTGTCCCAAATTCTCCCATCCAAACACACATTCACAATTTCCAGAAGCAGTTAATATACCTGTCAGGTAGTCATAGGTTCAAATCCTGCTTCTTCCCCTTTGAATGCCACTGGGTAAATCAGCATTCTAGTTCTCAGGATGTTACAATAAAATGGGTAATAACCACCTACTACTACTATACCCCCTACTATCTAGGACTGATCCAAGGATTCGGATGAGATACTTCAGATATGCATACATTTAACATGAAATAAAAAGTTGTTATGAGTAGCATCACATACGCCAGCTTTTTTTACTGATACAAAATGCAATGTGCCTTTAACAGCAATTTGTAATTTTGAGCTTTGGTTTTGATTACTGTTTTTTTTTCTTTTTGCTTTGTGAGACAACGTCTCACTACATAGGTTAAGCTGGCCTAGAATTCATTATGTAGTCCAGACTAGCCTTGAACATGGAGCAATTCCACTGCATCTGCCTCCTGGGTGTTGAGATTATAGGTATGTGCCCCTTTAAGGGCTAATTTTATTTTTAACTGCTTATTAAAATACATTGTTTTGTTTTGTTTTTTTCTTTTTTTTTTTTTTGGTTTTTCGAGACAGGGTTTCTCTGTGTAGCTTTGCGCCTTTCCTGGAACTCACTTGGTAGCCCAGGCTGGCCTCGAACTCACAGAGATCTGCCTGGCTCTGCCTCCAGAGTGCTGGGATTAAAGGCGTGCGCCACCACCGCCTGGCTACATTGTTTATTTTATAAAAGATTTATATCCAATATTTTCATAATTTTAAGTATTAAAGTCATAAATCGTACAGCTAAACAACATATTGTAGCTCAATTATAGCTTTAATTCATATTCAAGAACATCTAAGGGCATCAAGCATGGCAGTGCATGACTATAATCCCAGCATTCAAGAAGCTGAGGCAGGAGGATTGCAAGTTCCAGGTCAACCTGAGCTGCATAGGGAGACCCTGTCTGAAAAGTACAAAAGAAATTCTTGAGGTTGGGGCTGTAGTTCAGTTGTAGAGCATCTGTCTATGATGCATAAGGAATAAGGTTCAAGCCCCAGCACAGAAATAAAAAAAGGGGGGTTGTGACCTAAACCATTCTTCTTTTAGGTCAGTTTTTGTTTGTTTGTTTGTCTTTCGAGACAGGGTTTCTCTGTGAAACAGTCCTGCCTTTCCTGGAACTCACTCTGTAGACCAGGCTGGCCCCGAACTCACAGAGATCCATCTGCTTCTGCCTCCCAAGCGCTGGGATTAAAGGCGTGTGCTACCACTGCCTGGCTGGTCAGTTGTTGTTGTTTTAATCATTATGATTTCCAAATACAAAATTGTTACCAATTCCAACATTTTTTTTTCTTTTTGGTTTTTTAAGACAGGGTTTCTCTGTGTAGCCCTGGCTGTTTCGAAATTCATTCTGTTGAACAGGCTGCTTTGAACTAAAGAAATTTAACTGTCTCTGCCTCCCAAATGCTGGAATTAAAGGTGTGCACCACCACTGCTCGGCTACTCCAGTTTACACACCAAATACAATCAATACCACTACAGAGTTTATGTGCAAACTATTTTTCATTCCTAAAGGTGTTTCACTTTTTTTAAAAGATTTATTTATTTATTATTATGTATACAGTGTTTGGCCTGCATGCATGTCTGCATGCCCGAAAAGGGCACCAGAACTCATTACAGATGGTTGTGACCCACCATGTGGTTATGGGGAATTGAACTCAGGAACTCTGGAAGAGCAGTCAGTGCTCTTAACCTCTGAGCCATCTCTTTAGCCCAGTGTTTCACTTTTATAAAGGTGAAATGAGGACAGGCTTAAAACTAAAATTGCGCCGGGCGGTGGTGGCGCACGCCTTTAATCCCAGCACTCGGGAGGCAGAGCCAGGCGGATCTCTGTGAGTTCAAGGCCAGCCTGGGCTACCAAGTGAGTTCCAGGAAAAGGCGCAAAGCTACACAGAGAAACCCTGTCTCGAAAAACCAAAAAAAAAAAAAAAAAACTAAAATTGCACTCAACCAATCAATAGGAAAAAACTGAGTCCATTCTAGCAATACGACCGTACTTTGCAATCAGAGGAAGGAGTTCATTTCATTTACATCAAAAACATCAGCTCTCCTGTAATCTATTAGATAAAACCTTGGTATCTGCAATTTGCTAGCCAGCGAGGCCAATAACATTACAAATCCACATCACACTTTTCATAACAACAAACTCTGTCTTATACATCATATTGAAAACTCTCAGCACCACACTTAGATGCTGTGCTGGCTAGTTTCATGTCAACTTAACACAAGCTAAAGTCATCTGAGAGGAGAGTGCCTGAATTAAGAAAATGCCTCCATAAGATCGGGCTGAAGGAAGCATGTAGGGCATTTTCTTAATTAGTGATCGATATGGGCGGGCCTAGACCATTGTGGGTGGTGTCCCCCCTGGGATAGTGGTCTTGGTTCTATAAGAAAACAGGCTGAGGTTGGGAATTTAGCTCAGTGTTAGAGCGCTTGCCTAGCAAGGGCAAGGCCCTGGGTTCAATCCTCAGCTAAAAAAAAAAAAAAAGAAAAAAAAGAAAACAGGCTGAGCAAGCCATAGTGAGAAACCCAGTAAGCAGTACCCCTTCATGGCCTCTGCATTACTCCTGCCTCCATGTTCCTGCCCTGTCTGAGTTCCTGGACTGACTTCCTCCAGTGATGGACTACGATGTGGAAGTGTAAACCAATTCAACTCTTTGTCTCCACTTGGTTTTGGTCATGGTGTTTCATCACAGTAATAGTAACCCTAACTAGGACAGATACTAATATCATTAGCTTAATTAGATACCAAGTAGATTTTAAATTGTACTGCTGTTTGATCTCATCTGTTTATATGTAGGCAAGTTCTCTGAGAACACAATAGGACATCCTTCCCCACATTCTTGTTTGTGACTCACGTAAGGTAGGTGCCCCTGGTGTTCACACTCATCATCAAGTCCACTCTCTTTGTAGGAGTATCCAATGTGTTGGTCAAGCTAATAGCACTCGCATTGTTCACCAAAATATCAATTCCTGTTTCCAAAGAAATCAGTTCCATTTTAACGCAAGTCAGAGTCGTCCCTGCCCCCCATATACACAAAACATGGTTGACCCCTCAGCTGATTCACAAATAGGCACAGTGGAGATACAGCCAATTACCAGAGCTCTATGGAGAACCATAAGAAAGTTTAGTCCTTACAAGCTGTAGCTACAATCCTTAAGTATCTGTCTTCTCTCACTGGCTCCAGGAACCTTGGGTCAAATCCTCTTTAGTACTCTCTGACCTATGACCTTTCCAAGAATACCAGTCTCTCTTTCCACACAGCTCCTTTCTTACTTTGCTTTTCTTTTTTCTTTTTTGGTTTTTCAAGACAGGGTTTCTCTGTGTAGCCCTGGCTGTCCTGGAATTCACTCTGTAGACCAGGCTGGCCTTGGACTCAGAGATCTGCCTGCCTCTGCCTCTGCCTCCCAAGTGCTGGGATCAAAGATGTGTGCCACCATTGCCCAGCCATAGCTCCTTTCTTAAGGGAAGGGCTTCTTTTTGGTATTGGAAACTGGGGAAAAAGAATGATGTTGAGTTTCAAATCCCAAACAAGACTTTTTTAGTGACTCATACACAGAAATACACACACACACACACCCCTAAAATAATTCCAATTTCTGTATACTCTATCCAGTTTCTACCTATACGCAATATATCTTGTTTTCAGTTATATGCTCAACAAAAATAACATTAAATGGAAATTTCAGTGAAAAGGTAAAAATGCTTCACTGAAAATATTGCTATGCAGAGGGTGCTCGTTAGGTCTAAGGTGAGAACCACCGTCTGTGACTTGTGAGGGGGTTACAAGAAGCTCAGGCTATCAACCAGTTGGCCTCAGTGAGCTATGTACCCCAACTTCAGGTTGCAACAAAAGGAAGCAACCACAGTCACCTGACTCTTATTCCGTTACTCTCACTGCTCCATTTTACTGCTATTGTTCATCTCTAACTGGGCCTAGTTTATAGAACATTTATCACAGGTATGCAGGTATAGGGAAAAACAGCATAAATAGGGCCGCATACTATCCATGGTTCAGGCATCCCCTGGAGGTGGTTACAGCTCTATTTTATCAATGTTCGGTAATTAGTTCAGAATCAAGGGACTACCTCCGAATTTCTCGACAGCTTTTTCCACTGCACTGTTGATTTGCTGCTCATCTCTCACGTCAACAACACATGGCAAGGCCTTTCCTCCAGCGGCTTCAACTACAGAAAAGCAAATGAAACAGCATCGAAGTATTTATAACTACACCTTCATTCTGATGCAACAACAATCCAAAGAAAAAGTTCCCAAGAAATTGAGATACATTATAGGGTCTTATAACCACAACGGACAGACCGACGAACCCAACCAGCTGGGGCTCTGCAGGCTCTAGGCATGAACACAGTGCACACACATACATGCAGGCAAAACACCGGTGCACACAAAAGAAATACCTCTAAAAACAAAACGTTCACCCCACCCTGCCGTCAGCGTCTCCTCTTCACTTCCGCTTTACCTCCACCTCCCACCCAAGAATAACTGCTGTAAAGAAATGATTTTTTCCCAGTGCTGGGAATAGAACCCTGGACCTTGTATCTCTAACTTACAGTCCCAGTTCTGAGATATGACTATCCTAGAATCTCTCATATTGCTCAAAAGAGCTAGAGGTGAAAAAATGGAGAGAACTCCCTCTCTTGATAACAAAATAAATACTTTTTTAAACAGACAATTTTTTTTTTTAATTTTTGAGACAGGGTTCCACTATGTAGCCTTGGCTGGTCTGGTTCTCACTCTGTAGACCAGGCTGGCCAGGAACTCACAGGTATCCACCTGCCTCTGCCTCCCAAGTGCTGGGGTTAAAATGTGCACCACCATTTACTTAGTTTATTGTAATGCACTCGCACATGCTATAACATGGCACAAGCACGTTGCCTCCAGAGCGTGGGTTTGGGGATCTGGCTCAGGCTGTTGGGCATGGCGGCAGGCACCTTTCTTTACCTGCTGAGCCACCTCACCAGCCCTAAACACAATTACTTTTAAAGTAACATTCAAATAGATCAAACCAAGCTCTCCAGCAAATTATGTCCGAACCCACTGGAAGGACAGTCCGTGAAAAGACAGTTGTCCGAACCCACTGGAAGGACAGTCCGTGAAAAGACGGTTGTCCGAACCCACTGGAGGACAGTCCGTGAAAAGACAGTTGTCCGAACCCACTGGAGGACAGTCCGTGAAAAGACAGTTGTCCGAACCCACTGGAAGGACAGTCCGTGAAAAGACGGTTGTCCGAACCCACTGGAAGGACAGTCCGTGAAAAGACGGTTGTCCGAACCCACTGGAAGGACAGTCCGTGAAAAGACGGTTGTCTGAACCCACTGAAGGACAGTCCGTGAAAAGACGGTTGTCCGAACCCACTGGAAGGACAGTCCGTGAAAAGGCAGTTGTCCGAACCCACTGGAAGGACAGTCCGTGAAAAGGCAGTTGTCCGAACCCACTGGAAGGACAGTCCGTGAAAAGGCAGTTGTCCGAACCCACTGGAAGGACAGTCCGTGAAAAGACGGTTGTCCGAACCCACTGGAAGGACAGTCCGTGAAAAGACAGTTGTCTGAACCCACTGGAAGGACAGTCCGTGAAAAGACGGTTGTCCGAACCCACTGGAAGGACAGTCCGTGAAAAGACGGTTGTCCGAACCCACTGGAAGGACAGTCCGTGAAAAGACGGTTGTCCGAACCCACTGGAAGGACAGTCCGTGAAAAGACGGTTGTCCGAACCCACTGGAAGGACAGTCCGTGAAAAGACGGTTGTCCGAACCCACTGGAAGGACAGTCCGTGAAAAGACGGTTGTCCGAACCCACTGGAAGGACAGTCCGTGAAAAGACGGTTGTCCGAACCCACTGGAAGGACAGTCCGTGAAAAGGCGGTTGTCCGAACCCACTGGAAGGACAGTCCGTGAAAAGGCAGTTGTCACACTCACTTTCCTCAGCAGCTGTGTAGATCGTGCCTGGGAGCTTCGGGTGTGTTTGGGCGGTCTTCGCAGCAATTACAATATTTGCTCCATCCTTCGCTGCTTTCAACGCAATAGCTTTGCCGATGCCCCGGCTTGCACCTGTGATGAAAACCGTGCATCCCGCTAGCTTCCTAAACGGAGCAAAGGTGACCGTATTAGAAACTTCACTCTCTCATATGCATTTTCATGATTTCCTCTATACCCCCACCCGACAGATTATAACTCTGCTATATTTCCACTGCATACGACTGATAAATTATTTATGACAGTTACAGCTGGCCAATCTTACCTGAGATCTGCAAACAAAATCTGCTCAAATACAAAGTAAATCTTAAAGAGAAGACATGCATTTTTTTTCCATAGGAAAAGTATTCACAAGGCTGTGTGTGGTGTATAGGATGTATGTGTGCAGATGTACGTGCCTAATTGGATCCACAGAAACCAGAGGAGAACCTCAGGTACCCTTCTCTAATCACTCTCTACTCCAGTTCTCTTGAGACAGGGTCTCTAGGGAGCCTGGAGCTAGGCCTATAGCAAGCTAGCTGTATGTGACCCCAGGATGCTCTGCCTCTGCCCAAGGCAGTTACAGGGTGTCAGGTTACAGGTTAGTGTATCCATACCCAGCTCTTTTACAGGGGAGTTGGAGATTTAAACCCAAGGTCCTCAGGCTTACCCAGCAGGCACCTTTACCCATAGACTCATCCGCTAGCCTGAGACTTTTGTTGTTGTTGTTTGGAAACAGTCTCATGCAGCACAGGCTGGTCTTGATCCCCTAATCCTCCTGCTTCTACCTTCTAAGTGCTGGGATACAGGCATATACCACTATGTCTGTCAACAAGGCTTATTTGTGAGTGGCAGACTTACACATAAATTTTTATTCTTTACATTCTATAGTACTTTTCGAATTTTCTACAATAAATACATAACACTTGATCTTTAAAAAATTCTCTAAAAATAGTAGCTAGAGTGGAAAAAAATGCAAATATGGATTAACTAATGAAGGGATAAATGTAAGTGGTTTACCCCCACAATGGAATAGTGTTCAGTAATGAAATGGAATTAATTACTAAGATATACTACAGCATGGACAAACCATCTAATCACACAGATCACTTTCTTAAGATTCCATTATATGTAGAGACCCAAGACCAGTGGCTGCCCGGAGTGGGAGTGCGAGGGTTTGGGAGCCAACAGCTGAGGCCGAGGAACTTCTTTCTGGGATGACAAAGGTTCTAAATTGATTGTGGGGACTTTTTTTTTCTATGCAGATACAGAACCACTGACTGATTGGTATAAGAATTTCATCTCAGTAAAGCTGTTAAACAAGCCTAAAAGGGGCAAGAACAGGCTGACTAGAAATAGCCCTCATTCAAATAGTCTGACATCCCTGGCTCCCATTTCATTCTCTATTCCTCCCATCTTCACACTGAATTTTCTACTTATTCTGCTGTTAGGTGACAACAAGAAAAGTGATAACTAGATAGGTGAGTCTGTAACAAATGAACAGGAGGCTCCTGCCGGTCCTGGGGGATTACACTAGAGTAGGGCATCGCAGGTGCAGGGAGGGGCGATTTTGAAATAAAGAATAATCATGTATCAGTTGCTTTTCTATTGCTGTGATAAAATACCATGACCAAAGCAACTTATAGACAGGAAGGGTTTATTTGGTTTAAGGTGCCAGAGGGGAAAGGTGCTACTGTCACAGCACGCAGGCCTAATGGCTGAACAGCAGGCTGGGAGTTCACACTGTCACTACAAGAGGAAGCAGAGAGCAAACTGGAAATGGTAGCTTGGCTTTGAAGCCTCGAAGCTCACCCCAGTGACATACTTCCTCCAACAAGGCCACATATCCTAAACCTACTAAACAGCACCACCTGTAAGTGAGTGTTGCAACTCTGGAGGAAGGGTATCCTGACTGTTCAGGGAGTCAGGCGACACCTGGAGCTGCTAGGACAGCTCTGGCAGCTGGAGCCGCAATGGGACAGCTCAGCTCTGGAGTGAAAGGTATCTTGACTGTTCGGGAGTCAGGCTATACCTGGAGTTGGGGTGTGGTGGGGAATGGTCTCCACACAGGATATAGTAATCCTGCTCCTCTCTTGGAGAGCCACTACAGATGAGCTTTGCCTAGCCCCTCCTTAAGGGGGCTTCCCAGCAGAGCCCTGCTTCTTCTCTGGCCCACGATGTTGCTTCTTTTGCTTCACTCTGCTAAAGGGGAAACCCCTGCTCTGGCTCTGGCAAAAAAGTTGTTACTTTCCTGCTCCACCTTGCTCAGCCCCTAAAGGACGTCTTACCAAGGTTCTTCTCTGCACTGGCGAATGAAGATCTTCACACCCAAGACTCTTTTTGTTTTGTTTTGTTTTTGTTTTTCGAGACAGGTTTTCTCCGTGTAGTTTTGGTGCCTGTTTTGTATCTCGCTCTGTAGCCCAGGCTGGCCTTGAACTCACAGAGATCCGCCTGGCTCTGCCTCCCGAGTGCTGCGATTAAAGGTGTGCGCCACCACCACCCAGCCCCAAGACTCTTTTGAGAAAGAGATTTATTTGGGAAGGAGGAGTCCAGGAGAGTGGCCGCCTCTACTAGTGTGGGAAAGAACAGGCATAACTGTTCTTTCTGTTTATATAGGATTTCTTAGGGGCAGAGTTTTTCCAGGGGAAGATTTTCTGCCCAGGGGTTGGTTATTTATTTATTTATTTATTTATTTATTCTGCTCAGGAATTGGTTAGTTTTGTTGGTCAGGGGCAGAGATGGTCCTGATTTCAGAGCCAAATTGTGTTTCTTTCACTGGCCTTTCTTAGCTTTTTGGCTCTAATCCTAAGGCAGGGCACATTTCTTTCACTGGCTCTGATTCTAGAGACAAAGTGATTTACTTTGGCACTGGTTTCAGAGTCAGGGCATGTTTCTTTGGTTCGGAGTTCAGGGATAAAGTGTTTCTTTCTCTGGCTCAGGTTCCAGATCTAGGCTGTGTTTCTTTCCCTGGTTCTGGGCTCCAGGGTCAGGGTGGGTTTCTTTAGCCAGCCCCCTTTCCCTACACCACCACCTGGAGATCAAGCAATCAAAAATCTGAGCTTCTGGAAAACACTGTAATCCAAACCATCATAAATCACTGTGAGGGGAAGAAACCAAAGTAGAGAAGTGGGGAAGAGACAGAAAAGTAAAATACAGTAAACATAAAAAAAAAAATGTAAAATGAGCGTATAAAGCCTAAATAGAAACAGACAATGGTGTACCTACTAACCAAATCAAAGAAACAGAGTAGTACCAAAGCCACCAGCCCACTTCTCTGTTATGGTTTGAAAACAAAACATCCTCCACAGTCTTGTTTTTAACAATTGTTCTCAACTGGGGAGCTCTTTAGGGTGCTCCTTTAGGAGAAGACTGGCTGGGGGACGGTCACTAGGGGCAGGCCCTTGAAGGTTATACCTGGCCCCACTTCCTGCCCCTTTCTCTGCATCTTGGTCCACTGTGATGTGGAGCCTCCACACATCCCTGCTGCCCCACCCCCATACACACACACACATACACACACACACACACACACACGATGGACTAAGACCCTCTAAAGTTATGAGTCAAAATGAGCCTTCCCATCCTTGTTTCTGAGAGGTATTTTAGTCATAGCAATGCAAAATAACTAAAACATTCCCCAACTCGACCTGCTGCCTGCATCCACCCCACAAAGCAAAAACTACTTTAAATGTTAACATTCATTCTTTTAAAATAATTTATAATACCAATGCATCTATATCTAACCCAGGGTCAGATAATTATGGCCCACAAGCCAAGTCCAAATCATTACCTATGTGTGTAGAGGGAGGGTGAGAGCTAAGAATGACCTTTCCAGATAAACATTTGCAACCAATTTAATGACAGAAAATACCAATCCTAAACCCCAGTTTGTAGTACTTTGTTATAACATCCTAAAATGCTAGATCACTCTAACAACCCTCAAAACTTCTTATTAGATACTGTCCTACAAAAAAATTGTGCCCAATTATTTTTAATATCACAACAAAAATATTATGATTTATTTTTATAGATAAGTGCATCCATCTCCAATGTTGCCTTTTGGTTCATAAAACCTAATATTTTTTTTTTTGTTTTTTTGTTTTTTTGTTTTTTGAGACAGGGTTTCTCTGTGTAGCTTTGCGCCTTTCCTGGAACTCACTTGGTAGTCCAGGCTGGCCTCGAACTCACAGAGATCCGCCTGGCTCTGCCTCCCGAGTGCTGGGATTAAAGGCGTGCGCCACCACCGCCCGGCCAAAACCTAATATTTACTAGCTGACCTTTTACAAAAAATCCTGTCTAACTATGGTCTGAACAATGCACTATTTAGGTTTTTTGCCTCATTTTGAACTCTGTATAATAGACTGATAAAGTATGTAATTCTGTTTAGAGAGCTATCCATATGATTTAAGTAACTATACTTATTTTTTCATCAGTACACGAATCCCACACACAAACACACTGTAAGTTATCCACTCTACCATTTAGCAATAGTGTAATAAATGTTGCTGAGCTCATCTTCAGTCATTGTGCCAGAGTTTCTCTAGAGCGCACACACACACGCCAGTGAAACTGTCCCCTTATGCATTGGTTTCTTATCTCAGTGTGACAAAATGCCTTTTAAAAGCAATGAGGCGGGGGGGGGGGGGGGGGGGGGGGGGGTCTGTTGGAGATTTAGCTCAGTGGTAGAGCACTTGCCTAGAAAGCGCCAGGCCCTGGGTTCGGTCCTCAGCTCCAGAAAAAAAAAAAAAAAAAAAAAAAAGCAATGAGGGAGTTGGACAGTTGGCTCAGCAGTCAGGACTGGAATTTGGATCCCTGCACCATACCAGGCAGCCAGCTTATGAATGCCTATAACTCCAGGCTCAAAGGATCCTACTCCCCCTTCTGGCCTCTTAGGCATCCACAGACACCCAGAAACAGATATACACACATAAAATAAACATCTTTCAAAAGCAACGAAGAGTTTTCAGGGCTCCCAGTCTGAGGGGATGCATGGCAGGGCAGACACGGTGGTGAGAAAGGGTGGTGCTGGTCACAGCGTGACTGCAGTCGGGAAGCGGCAGAGACAGTGCTGCTGCCCACTTCCTTGACCTTTCCTTTCCCCTTCTCGCTTAGTCCAGGCCCCCATGCC